ACACGTGCTGCAAATATCGTCAAATAGGATGTGAAAAAATTTTTGAATTCAATATTCATAATTAAGATGTCTGTCGGGTCAACTAGTATGAAATATAACTTACTTTAATTTCTTGAAAACTATATACAAGTCAGACGAATTAATATGACATCTGCCTCGGAACCGTTGAGTTTTATTATGCATCGTTTTTTCTAAATATTCAAAATATATATTTTTGCATGATGTACTTTGGCATAAACTTTATTCTAGCCAAGTGTCATGTTAATTCATTCGACTCGTACTTTTTAATGTTTTTAAAATCTATTGCAGATTTATAACTTGCTTTTTCCACAACCGACATTGAATAGGCTTCATGATACAACTACAATAAGAGGAAATTTGCGCCTAGCAATCAGATTAAGTATTCAGAAATTAACACAAATACATAGGCGGGATGATAAATAGCTAGCCCAACCCATATTTTGTATAATAACGATATAAAATCTCCTGAATATTTTACTCATTGGTTCATTAGCTGCCAGTGTTCCAAATTTCAAATCGATCGTATAGTTTCTTTTAAATATTGACATTTCAAAAAGCATTCTTTTGTTTTTTCTGCAAAATGGATAAAATTGAGCTACGACCTGTGATAAAGTTTTTGCATTTAAAAGGATTGAAAGAGAGATTTTTTCGGAGATGAAGAATGTTTTGGGAGAAAATGCTCCTTCATATGCAACCCAAGATGAACATCGTCCAGGACGTCTAAAAAGTGCCACTACTCCAGAAATTGTGACCAAAATTCATGATGCAGTTTTAGCTGACCGAAGATTGAAACTTTCCGAGATAGTTGATACTGTAGGCATCTCTTAAGTACGGGCGCATTACATTTTGACTCAAGACTTATGTATGAACAAATTATCCGCAAGGTGGGTGCCACGATTGCTTACAGTTGACTAAAAACGCGGTTTTTTTTATGCGATAGGGGGCAGACGAGCAGACGGATCGCCTGATGGTAAGTGATTACCGTCGCCCATGGACACCTGCAATACCAGAGGGGCTGCCGGCCTTTGAGGGACGAATATAATTATAGAGAGGAAAGGGTTGAGGGGTAGAGGGAAGGGAATAGGGAGGGGTTGGGCCTCCGGTACCCTCACTCACACGACGAAACACAACGCAATCGTTGCTTCACGTCGGTTTTCTGAGAGGCCGTGGTATCACTCCGGGCGAGCCGACCCATTCATGCCGAAGCGTGGCTCTCCCACGAACAAAAATTTCACAAGAATGTTTGGACCGCTTTAAGAGCAATACAACTGATTTTCTGCGACGGTTTGTTTTTTTTTTTTTTTATGTATAGGAGGGCAAATGACTGCGCTCCACCTGATGGTAAGCGGAGGCGTAGTCCAAACGTGAGGACAGCTAGTGAAAACAGTACGTAGGTACTGCACTAGCCAACCTCACCTTGCCGACCTGCAAGGTGCTTCTTCACGCCCCGCTTGAAGGACCCCATGTCATAGGAAGGAGGGAATACATGGGCCGGGAGACAATTCCATTTTTTGGTAGTACGACAAAGAAATGAGTCGCCAAATTTCTTTGTACGCGAAGGAATCGCTGCCACAGTTAGTTGGTGGCAACGCATACCAGCACGTGTGGTCCTGAGGAGGAAGGGAGATGGAGGGATAAGCGAAAAGAGTTCTTCAGAGCATTCACCATGGTAGAGACGGTAGAAGACGCTGAGCGAAGCAACGTCTCGGCGCAGTTGCAGGCTTTCTAGGTTCTTGGTGACTTCACCATTGCCAATAATGCGTACTGCGCGGCGCTGCAATCTATCCAAAGCATCGAGTAAGTACCTAGCGGAGCCATCCCAAAGGTGCGAGCAATACTCCACGCATGACCGGACCTGCGTTTTGTATAGCAGGCACAGTTGTTCGGGTGTGAAAAAACGCCGCACCTTATTCAGGACACCGAGTTTACGAGATGCTGTTTTAATAACGGACTCGATGTGGTTTTTGGGATTCAGATCACAGCGCACTTCCATCCCGAGCATGTTGATGCTGCTCTGTAGAGGCAAGGTTGTGCCCTGAAGAGAGGGAAGGGAAGGGAATGGAGGGGTCTTGGCGGTAAATACGCAAACCTGAGTTTTCTTGGCATTGAACTCAACCAGATTTTCAGCACCCCATTTCGATATGAGATCCAGAACGTGATTGAGCTCAATGACAAGATTCTCCCTTTTCTCCAGGATTTCCGCCCGTCCGACTGTAGGAGCCCCGTGATATCCCACATGCACTGTGCTATCGTCTGCATAGCAATGGATATTTCCAAGTGGAAGCATGTCATTGATATGCAGCAGAAAAAGTGTAGGGGATAGAACGGAGCCCTGAGGCACACCGGAGTTGACTGACATAAGCTGTGAAGAGCATCCGTCAGAAAGAACACGGATTTTACGCTCACGCAGGAAGTCGGCTATCCAGGTGCAGAGTTGAACGGGCAGACCGTAGGCCGGAAGCTTGGAGAGAAGTCCCTTGTGCCAAACCCTGTCAAATGCCTTAGCAATGTCAAGACTGACAGCCAAGGACTCGCCGCGCTTGTCGATAGCTTCACCCCAGAGGTGCATGACGTGCGCTAGAAGATCACCAGTTGATCGTTTTGGTCTAAAGCCATACTGACGATCATTTACAAGGGAGTGATCTTCTAGGTATCGGATCAGTTGGGAGTTAATAATCCTTTCCAGGACTTTACACAGCACAGAGGTGATAGCTATAGGGCGGTAGTTTGCAGGGTCTGACCGATCTCCCTTTTTGGGCACTGGCTGCACAATGGCCTCTCTCCAAGCCTCAGGTACACGACCCGAAGAAAGAGATAGCTGGTATAGGCGCGTAAGTACAGGAGTCAACTCCGCTGCACACATTTTTAGAACAACCGCAGGAATGCCATCAGGACCACTAGCTTTCCGGACATCGAGTGACTGTAGTTCCACACGCACATCACGCTGCCTGATATGAATATCAGGCATAGTGAAGCCACTAGAAGGTAACGTTGGTGGCAGTGCATTACAGTCATTGATTTGGGAATTAGCCGCGAAGAGGCTTGCCAAGAGGTCGGCTTTCTCCTGCGGCTTGTGAGCTAATGTTCCATCTGGACATCGAAGCGGTGGCAGCGAGGGCTGGCAGAAATTGTTTTGCACGGCCTTGGTGAGGCGCCAGTAGCTACGGGAGCCCGTAGGGTGCGTAACTAGCTCATGGCCAATACGTGCGACGCGCTGGGCATCCGCTCTGATGTAAGCCTTCTTACAGGACTTGGAAGCCTGATTGTAGGCTGCTTTTATTGAGTCGATATCGGCATCCCTCCGAGCACGACCCCTGATCCAAGCTCGATATGCCAGCTGTTTAGATGCAACAGCGTTAGCACAATCGCGATTGAACCAGCGGTTGTGTTTGCCCATACTGATCAGATCGGAGTGCGGAATATAGTATTCCATAGCAATACCGATCTCCTCAGTAATAGCAACGGCGCTCGTTGTCGGATCCTTCTCACTAAAGCAGCGCTGCTTCCAAGGAACGGATGCAAGGTACTCGCGCATGCCGTCCCAATCCGCTGAGCCATAGTGCCATACGCGTCGTCGAGTCCTCGGAGGTTGAGGGGGCTCGATTCGCGGCACTTTGGTGGATATCAAGCAGTGGTCGGAATTGCCCAGTGGGGCACGAACATCAACCTGATAACCGACGGGATGGCTCGTAAGCAGAAGGTCCAGTAAGGAAGGCGTTTGACCGACTATGTCTGGGATCCTGGTGGGCTGATCGACCATTTGAGTCAAGTCATGCGTGAGAGCGAATGCGTGGGCTGATCTCCCCGCATGGTCCGTCTTGGAGGAACTTAACCACGATTCGTGGTGAGCGTTGAAGTCCCCCAAGAAAACCAGTTCTGCGTTAGGATACTGCTCCTGCGCGTAATCTGCCGCCCGACTGAGGTGGTCATAAAGTCGAGTTGTCTCCGCATCGCCAGTGTGGGATCTGTAGAGGCACACATAGACTCGAGTCTGATGACCTAAGTCTATATGCACCGCTAGGAGGGAAAAGGAAGGGTCTTCTAGGCAGCGCAATTGGTGACAGCAAACATCCGCCCGGACAAACAAGCATACACCGGCTTTTGCTTTGAAGGACTCTTCAAGTGCGTAGCCGGGATAGTGAAGGTAGCTTGTATCGGCCGGGCGGAGAATTTGCGTCTCCGTCAGAAACAATATTGCAGGCCGTGCTGTCTCTAGGTGTTGGTGGACAGCATTGAGGTTGGCATGGAGTCCCCGTATATTAGAGAACTCAACCTCAAACAGCGAAGGCGTGGGGTTGTGCACCGCTGTACGACCAGCGGTCAGCCGTTTCTACGGGTCTCCCTGGCTGGCGGGTCGATGCAGTCCTCCTGGCACTGGTTCGACGGAGGCACCCACCGGACCGAAACAATCGCGGCAATGTCGTCCCGAGCTCTGGTTGTACGTTGGCTGATCCCGAAACGCGCTCTACGAGCGAGCACTTCACGGGTTTTTCACCATGTGTGTACGGTGGTAACTAACCAGGCGGGATTAAACCCTACCACCAGTTGCGAGCAGATCTGAGCTCGAATTCCTTTAGTCGCCTCTTACGACACCCACAGGAAAGGAAGGGGCGGTGAGTTATGTATTCTTTCTCCGTCACCGCACGGATTAAATTGTTACTACAGACGAGACTTGGGTACACCACTATATACCTGAATCAAAAATTCAAACAATGGACGGAAAATGGATCCCCGGCTCCAAAGAAAGCAAAAGCCAATTTCAAATCTAGGTGGACAAAGATTTGAAAATAATACCGAGGTGATGTCTGCCGTGAACAGTTATTTTGAAGGGATTGAAGAAAACCACTTCAGGGATGGCATCAAGGCTTTAGAGCATAGATGGATGAAGTGCATAGCGCTTCAAGGAGACTATGTCGAAAAATAAATATACTTTTAACACACTAATTCAAGTTTTTCTATGCTAGGCTAGCTATTTATCCCGCCCTCGTATCTCAATTGTAAAATTTTGATTTAATTAAAACGATGTTGACATTATTATTATAAGCAGTATGCGACAGGAGGAAAAAAAATAAAAATTCATGCATAAATCCAGATGGTGATACAAGATCGAAGGGTTATGTTGGTTGTTACTTGCGGAATAATATATTTTGTAAGTTACAAACGAAACATATAAAAATAATTTGATAATCATGAAGAGTGCACTCACCAGATACAGCAAACTGGATCGTGAGGAGTGCCTCCAGCAGTTTGATGAGGAGCCTAGTTTCAGTGTCTGTGCAGGGAGACCCGCTCAGTTGCCTCAGGGCCACCTTCAGTATCGAGTACGAGTCCAGCAAGGCGGGCGCGGAGGCCACGTGCGCGCGGAACAGCGGTGCCTGCACGCACAAACCAGCACAACTCTTCCAAAACGTACACACGTTCTTCAACACGTCCATGTGATCCTCCACTGACTCCTCGACCACGTAATCGCTAGGTGCCAAATTAGATTTTATATCCATCGGAGCGGACATCTTCCTCTGCGAGGTCTCCTCCGCGTCGGAAGGGTAACCCAACATGTCCCTCTCTTTGCTGAGATCGATCAACTCCTCGAATTCCTCCTCCGGCAACTTCAGTCTGTAGATCTTGTGGAATTTCTCCGTCATGTCCGATAGAGTCTTGAACAGCATCCGGACGGACGCGAGCGAGCTTACTTCTCTGTAGTAAGAAAGCTCCGAGTTCTCTTTCATCAGTTTAAATATCTCGACGACGATAGCTATCTCCAAGATGGAGCAACACTGAGGCGCGAATTCCGGTAGCGAAACCAATTCGAGGACGTAGCTGAGGCCGCCTTTTTGTATGAATTGTTCGGCGAAGGAGACCGCGTTCAGGAGACTCGCGAATATGTTAAGACAGGAGACGGTCAGAAAGTAGGCGGTCTCCTCCAGCCTTATCATGTAGCGGTGCTTGGCGACTATGAAGGTCGGATATATGACGCTGAAGAGCAGCTCGTGCTTCATCTCCGTGCGGCACTTCGGCGTGACCCGCAGCAGGTGATCGACGGTCGCGTGCAACACGCCACTGTGGTTGTCCAGTTGAAGCAGAGAATTGTAATGGATGAGAAACGACCACGTGCTCTTCCTCTCGATCGGACCGACGTGCGAGCACTTCGCCGCCGACTTGAGCGGTTCCCTCCGCGCCTCGGCGCCCGGCTCGCAAACGGAGCACGGCAACTGGTCCGTCGCTTTGGGCAACAGCACGCCGGCGCCCAGCTCCCCGTACACGGCGTGCTCCAGCAGCTGCAGCCCCGCGGCCGCGACGCCCGCGTGCGTGAGCATCAGCCGCACGATGCTCTCCATGAGGGCGCCGGGGGGGAAGCAGCAGCACACTCCGCAGCCGACCATCACCTTCAGGATCTTGTTCCGGAGCACGAGCTGCGCGGCCACTTCCTCGTCCGCCACGAGCGAGGCGAGCGTCCCGTACAGCAGCGATATGCAGCAGGCGTTGCCCCCGGGCAGGCGGGCGACGGCGTCCCCCAGCACGTCGTGGTGGTGATGCATGCCCGCGGCCACTCGCTGTCGACACATCTTGTGTCTCGTTCTCGGGCACGCGGCCGAGTGGATCACTTCGCTCCTCACTCGCTTCATGCCGCTCACGAGTTTGCCTATGGATTCGATGAGTTTCTTTATTAACACCACCGTTTCCTCCCGACGCCCCCCGGGTATTCTGATCATGAGCTCGATGCAGTCTTTCAGGAGACCTCCTTTCGAACATTCGCCGTAAAGTTTGAACTGTTCCGTGAATTCTCGGAGTTTCTCCACGCTTCTGCACTGCATCAGCAGACAGTGGAAGAACGCCGTTATCGAGTACGCGACGCCGAAAACGAATTTGAGCAGATTTTCGGATTCGGTCTCGCTCAGCGGTTCGGTTTCTTTGGTCCGCTTCTGGGTATCGTTTTTAGTTTGAAATTCGGTGCCAATCTTGCAGACGACGTCCTCGAGGAGCCGCAGAAGCATCGGCATGATCCCGTTGTTTATTAATTTGGCGCACAGATCGGAATGGACGAGTACTCTGTCTAGGGACACTATGAGCAGTTCGGTGAGGGCCACTTTGATGCGGGCCACTTCCTGAGTATCGGGCCGGTCGCCGGGACCCGGCACCGAACCGAATTGCAACGAACACAAATTTCGAAGAGAAAAGTTTATACACTGTACGGATATCTGCGATCCCTCGGAGCCGGACAGGCTACTTTCGGCCTTACAGAGTTCCTGCAGGAGGTCCGTTATCATTAAAATAAATTCGAAAGATGATATTTCTGAATTAATAATTTCCCTGTGTTTATCGGTCATGTAGTCGTCCGCCTTGGGCTTCGGCTTGCGCGGCGTATGATATGGATCGTAGTATGTGTTCGCGTAGTCGTTGGACGATCGCAACGGGGAGTTAAAATAGTCGAAGTCTCCTTTGGGGCTGGCCACTTTTATCGTCATGGACTTATTTAGAACTTGCAGATCATCGTCAGAGTCGCAGGATTCTGACGACAAGTCGTTCATTGGATTTCTCCGTGACTTTCCTGAGATATCTGTCTTAGTCTGACCGCTATATCTTGACCTGTCAAATAGATGTAATAATAGGAAAGAACTTTGGAACGAGATGTATTCACAATAAACATATTAGATAAAATAATTTAGTGATACATGAATTATGATCGTATATTACTAAAATTTTCATATTATGTTATACGGCTGCAGCTGTTGTTTAAAAATATTAGCATATATTAAATAATTCTTTAATATAGATTTATCCCGCCTCCCGAATTGGGTCACTTTGTATGTCAGGAGTCAGTGCTCTTCAATAATTTATGTATGGTTTTGCTTATTCAGACTTAGAAAATCAACATCAAAAGATCAAGAAAATAAACAGTAAATATTATGTATATCATCAATAAATAAAAAAAGCTATAACGTGAGAACCAGCATATATAAGCATGTGTATGTGTGTGGGCATTTTTAGCCATTTCTGTTTACGATACGATAAGTGTTTAGCCATTTTCACTAGAGATGCGCCGAATAGTGGTTTCACTGAATAACTGAATACCGAATACTCAGCCGAATTGTTCGGTTTACCCATTAATTGTTTTTGTTGAGCCGGAGTTTCTCTCAGTCGCCCTGAGATTTCGGAAACAAGAAACCTATATAAAGAAACACGCAACAGTCCCTTGCCGAAGAGGGCTGGGAGCTTTGTATACAGCATAATTTTTAATTCTTTTTGCTTTTGATCTCTATTATATTTTATATTTGTAATAGTGTCTATTTTTGTGAAATTGCCTCTTAAGTGTATTCATTTTACAATTTAAAAGGTTGATTTGAAGTTTAAAAATAAATGCTGATTATATTTTTAAAATAAATGTTGAACATAGTTTATAAAACAAATATTTATGATTTCAAAGCATTTATTTGACTTTTGATATTAGTTCTATCCGTATTATGTAGCCACGAAAATACAAATATATTTGGTACCAAAAAAACAATAATTCGGCCGAATACGAATAGTCAAAAACATGCCGAATACCGAATACCAATCGAATATTCGGCACATCTCTAATTTTTAACAGCTTGAATGTATTTGTTATATAGACTGGGATATTACAGCGACAAATTGAAAAAAACACACTTAACCAATTACATCTATTGTTTAGATCTCATTATACAAAATGATTATTATTATGAATTATAATAATAATAATAGAAGGCATGATTAATATAAAGTGTTTGACGCGTACCTCCCCGTAGTGGAGCCTCTTTCGGATGATTCGGCAGAGTTCGTTTTCGTCCCTGGACTGCCAATAGTCTTTGGTTTTTGTTTGGACCATATTCTACAACAAAGAAACTATTGTCAAACTAAGATATTTATTTCTTGAGACGCTCGTGTTAAGATAAAGTGAATTTTGCTTAGATATTTAATTTAATGATAAAAATACGTTTCATATGCCAACAAATTAGCATACGTATATTTAATCTGTTACATTGATAAGAGTGTCACCTGATGGAGAACAGCTGGTGTATGGGCGTGCGGCGCGGCGCGGGGCGCGGGGGCGGGGCCGCTGTGGCGGGGGCGGGGACGGGGGCAGAGAGGACGGGGGCGGGGCGGGGCGGGGCGGTGCACAACTCCCCGAACAGCCACACCAGCACCGAGCTCAGCTGGCGGCAGCACGACAACCCCTGCGCGACACAACACCGGTGTTATATTCACCTTAAACGTCCCTATGCCATAGCACAAAAGCCGAACAGGTAGAATTTCGTACGGTGACCCGGCATTACATATTCATTTCATTCGCGCCCAAAAACATCGCTATTGCGCCCGCCCACACGCATCTAGTATATTTTGCCATAGCGAAGTGAACCTAAAATGTTTACGATATCTCTCAGAAGGCCCAGAGGACGACGGATGAAATTCTCCCTGTAAGGCGACCGTGCTGGACCTAATATCCTACAAAAATGCGCTCTTCGATGAGGTCCGTGCGGACGGCCGATGTGGCTCGCCGATCTACCTGCGCGGAACACTTAATTTCGAAGCCCGGCAAACAATGGATCGGAATGATTCAAAGCGCGCCATCATCGATCATTTGCACGCCTGTACAACATCGGGTATCAGTGTGGCGGACACCAATGAGTTATATTTTAAACTGTATGTTTGTTGAATCATCATCATCATGGAATCGATCGGTCTACTCTGTATAGACGCCGACGCGCCATATTAGTTTGATTTGACTGTACACGCGACGGTACGTTGAATTACAAATGCCCAATTAAATTTCAAATGCCCGCCATCGAATTTGACATTAACTATCGATATACTTTAAGTTTTGATCGCTTGAACTTTGATATTTCTTAGATATACATGTACTGGTAGTGTATTTGTTCAACTTATAGACAAAGTTTGGAGACTTTATTACGTAGTTCTCCGTTCATTATGTTTGGGCTTGCAAACATCAAATGAAGTTCTAATTTATCTGTCAGGTTGAGAGATCAAATGTCAGCAGACTGATCAGGGTTATTGTAATCCAGAAATATAAATTATTTGGTTGGGTCTTATATACACTGCGATGGTCACTATTGTATAAATAACGCATATTTGACTAAAAACTGAATGCAGTATGTAAATACGAGTATAATACTTGTGTTGATTTTATAACATGGCTTCTGCGAGTTATATAATTTGAAGGTGCAATTCCTTTTAATGGGCTCATTTGCAGTGCACCATTATAAAAAAACCAGTCGTTCGCCGCGACTTCGCCCGCGTAAATTACAGCCTATGAACCCGATGTAGCTTCACTTAAGTGAAAGAATTTTTAAAATCGGACCTATAGTTGCGGAGCCTATTTGAAACAATCAAACCTTTCCTCACATTGGTATAGATAAACTTTTTTTGACGGATGCAATTTAAAATAAAATACTGCGCTATAAACTTTTACATATATTTTTTACCAGAAAATTTATTTTTGAGATTCGAGCAAATAGATCAGCTATATTAATAATTGTAAAATATTTACATATGTACATTTACGATTAAATTAATACAACTGGTTTTCGTTTATTCACATAATAACGAGTATAGACACATTTAAATCATTTCCGGCGAGGCGGCCGGCGGGGGCGGGGGTGGGGGCCGGTGTATGAGCGGCCGAGCCGACCCGCAGATAACCTACATGTTATTGTTACCGCACACTTTTGACGCGACAAACTATCAGCTGATACCTACCTCCAATAAGATAATTTAAAACATTAACAGTCTCCTAAATAGTAAGCTTAATTCTGCAATAAATGCGATAATAACTTCGTCTGTCTGCTAATCTTTCACGCCTAAACTGCTGAACCAATTTTAATGGGGTACATAAATAGTGTTGACGTTGGGAACAAACATATGTTGCCTTTATCACGAAAAAGATTTGAAGGGGTTGAATTAGGGGACAACAGTCATTGTCAAAAATAAAATTATAAAATATTGCATTCAGGCACTTGCAGTTTTTGGGATTGATGTCCAAAGTAACCATACCATACCACCATACCACACGGTCAAAGTCGCGTGCGAAAGCTAGTATATCATAAAAACTCATTAAGATCTTCTTGCAAAATATATATACATAGTTTAAGTTACGAGTATTATAAAACTAAAATAAGCATTGCGTGTGTAACAACCTCAACACCGAGTGCCTTGAGCAGCGCCAGGCACCTCCAGGCCACGCCCCCCAGCAGGTACTTGCGCAGGATCTCACCGGACGACTGACTGTTGTTGCGAGTGAACAGGCTCGTCGACTGCACACGACCCCCTTCCGGCAACGACTCTGATACTGGTAACCAATAAACACTCAACATCAACACTCCGTACACATTACGTGGCTTCAGTTACCTAAACAAGGTGACTGGAATCGATTATCTTAAATCGATTTTTGAGCAAAGAAAAATATATAAAGAAATATGTAGGGGCTACCAGAGATCTAGAGGGGCGTCGTACAGCATAAAATTGAATATGTCGACTTTACTTACACATACACATCGAATACAAGGTGACCGGTGTTTCAGTTCTATAAAGTACAAAGCAATTGTATACCTATCATCATTAGATTCACTAGTTATATCATAGTATGCTACGATAATATACAGGGTCATTTGTAAAACACCAGCAACCTCGCACGACGAGACGGCTTACTTCATTAACATTTGATCTACAAGTTAATTAAGTTATACAGATACTTTGAACAAAATCGGTATTCAAGTTTTTATTCACAAACGAAAGAACAAAGAAATTTATTAACATTCATGCAGTCAAAAAATAATATTACCTTTTTTTGTACGAAATTAAAATGTAACGAATTATTAACATTTTTAGAACTTATGTTGTTGTTTATAATGTTGGCTATTTAATGCTGCGAGTTGTTGGTGTTTTAAAAATAGCCCTGTATAGGTTTATTTACTTTACTGCAATCGCAGATAATCAACGTGTCACCTTCACGAGTTATTACCTGGTGTCTCAGTAGGGGGCGTGTCTAGTGGCGCGGGCGTGTCCAGCGTCGGCATCGGGAGCGGTGTGGCGAGGTGGCTCACTGATGACGTCACACGGTGCAGCCCGCATAGCAGCTCGCAACCCACCAGCGTAACCACTCCGCTTACCGGACTATTAGCAAATAAGATATATTATATTTCTTACACTCAAATAATACTATATTAGGTTAGCTATGACAGTTCCAATTTTGCCGCACTGTCCATTGTTAGGTTAATTTGTCCATTGCGCATGTTTCTTAATAACGAAAATAATATTAAATGCGCACCTGAAATTTCGAATTGTATAATTACATTAAAAAGCATGATCTTTAGGTAATATCTAGTTATTCTCTAATGTGTATACGGTTAAATAAAGCTTCGTGTTTGTGTATACACCTGAGTTAGCTTAATGTAATTATAATTTTCTCTCAGATACTTTAAATCGTACCTATTACAGTTGCTGTGAATGTGTGTGATCTTGAGACTTTAATTTGTGTTTTCATGTCATGTTATTCCTAGTTTATCGTTTATAAAAAAAAAAACTTAAATTATTAACTGTTACGTTATTCATTGTTTGTTCGACATAGCATTGCACGTGTTTAGCAGTGGAAACTGTCTAGACTACTGTACTACTTAATTGAATAATGTATATTCATGTGTAACTCAATGCTGTTGTTTCCCAAAATGAATAAATAAATCACTATCGTAAATGCAGATGAAGTAAAAAAAGTAATATATACATACGTACTTTAAGAGATGACTATCTTATATGAGTAAGTGGGCGGATACTTTGTTCATTTACCAGAATTTGATCAACTCCTTTGGATCAGCGCCACAATTGATTCTGATCAGAAACTCCGCTAGGAACAAGTCGAGCCATGTGGATTTCTAAAAAAAAGTATATTAAGTTAATGACAAATCACAGCGTGGATAGTAGGTAATTCCAATCTGAAACGAGTCTGAGCTAAAAAATATGTGCTGAGGGCCCAGGTTCGAATTCTAGCCGAGTTAATATAGAAAATGATCGTGTCTATCCTCGTTTCTTTATATTTCCTTCTGAACTGAAGCCTGTCTTTATTTATATAAAACATATAAAATAAATGAGTCAAGTGCGGGTTGGACGCGGGAAGAAACGGACCGTTCCATAACTCCGGAAAATATTAAAATTAGTTATTATCAGTGGTCGGAATTAGGTAGAGTTATTCATGTACTTACACTGATTTCATACAGCGAAAGAATAAAGTGGATATGCCTCAAATCCCGAGATTAATTTTAAAGAGCAGAAAAAATCCCGGGTTTTTTCAAATAAAAAGTTATTTACTTTTACACAATTTAAATTACTGCACGCACGACGTTGCCAAACTTACATCAATGAAAGAAAGAAATAAAGAAATCCCCGGGAAGGTCCACATTAATATCAACATTTCGATGTAAGTACATAAATAACTCTACCTAATTCCGACCTCTGGTTATTATTTGTCACGATCACTGTGACCATTCTGAATCTGCATTCAGTTGAAAGTTCTATTAGATAATAATTAGTTTAAAAACTACAACCTTGTGAAGAAAGGCGGAGGCATTTTTATCTTTAGGGCCCCGTTGATAACATATGATAATACAGACGAACTGAGAATGCAGTCTTCACAATTTGTGATCACAATTAAAACAAAATGTATTTAACAATTTCTGAAAGTCACTAGGACTCTATCCTTTTTATTGCAAAGCGATAAAATTTTGATAACTCGGTAATCGCATCGTTGACGATGTGGAAACCACAGCCTCTGGCCTAGTAAACATTTAGCTTAAATATGTAGAACCAAAAACGATAAGTATTATGATTAAGGTGTTTGCATTTCCATACAACTGTTTATGTAACAGTTTTAAAGAGGTCATCAATTTATCTAATAATTGACATCCGCACCGGGAATTGCTCACACGATACCTACACGTTCAAGAATAGAATAGTTTCTATTAAAGATACTAGCGCATCTGAGACATATATGCACTTATGCCAGTTTTCACTCAAATCTGTCGTCTAAATATTTAGGAATCACCTAGAGTAAAAATGCATTTCACCATTGACTATCACCTAATGAAATTAAACAATCTCTTAAGTTATGATATTCGTTATGCGCCGCCTTGCGCTAGGCATTTGCGTATATGACAGGTAATAAATATATCATGGGATAAAAAAAAATATATATTTATTTCTAATTAAACTAATCTGCTTAGGCGATTCGTAATATTGGGCGTTTTCTAGTTAAACTATGCCTTGTTAGTGAAAATGGGTGTTACAGTGGAACCTCTATAACTCGAACCTCGTTTAGTCTTACTGAGTAAGTCGAAAATAATTTTTATTCCCTTCCGCTGAACCCCCAAATCCGTAATATCTCGAATTATTTAGACTTTATAACTCGAACAAAATGTTATTTCCCTATGAGGTATTGATAGTACATATTTATACTTTATAACTCGAAATTCAAAAAACAGACTCCGTAAGTCAAAATTAGTAAAATATAATGACGACGAAATTGGCATTCCCCGAACTCATAGCAAAAAAATCCAGAAGGCATGATTGAGGTAGCGATGGGCGATTGTTGCAAAAAATCTAGATTAATACATCTGTATGTAATTGCTCTAAATAAATCTTGTGCCATAAAATTTAAGAGAAATATTATTTCTAAGCGCCTTTCTATGTCGAAATTTTAGTTAAATCATTTGTATCTCGAAATTCTTGTTAAGTCCAAAACTCATGAACTCGAAATTTTTGCCACTTCCCTTGATATTCGAGTTATCGAGATGCCACTGTATTATTATAGTCACAGATATCAGGTACAGAAATACGTGTGGGAGATAACACACCGACACATCAGACTACCACATCGACAAACATTAAAAAGTGCACGTACCTCATATGTACCAGTCTCAGCTTTAAAAAAATGGTCCCAAAATATCTTGAGCAAGTCCGGCTCATCTTCCGTGGCCATCTCCAAGGTGGTCGATCAATGGTGATAACTCTTACGGTTATTCTGTTTAATAAAAACAAAATGTTATATTTATTATACTAGGTGTAAATATTTACCGGTTTCCGGTCACACAACTCTCTATGACTCACTTTAATATGTACTTTGAGATAAACGGCGAGGTGACCCTTGTCCAAAATATTTCAATGATTCGATGTCGGTCCGTTAATAACGAGGCCAGATACTGAACGATATTAAAATGATTTTAATATTATTATCTAATTAATGGTTTTCGTGTAATTAATAAATTATAACTAAAATTAATGGTCCGTCAACACGCTTTTTTTTATTTTTATTAAACAATTACGGCAATATATTGATTTGAAATATCACATGACGTCACACCTCAGTAGATTTTCAAGATAGTCGTGACGTGAGCCTCACCACTTTATCTTAAATGCTTATTATCTAAATATTTTAACAAAAAATGTATATAATTTTTGGAATTACTCAAAATGAGGCGCGATTCCAGTATTCTGTCTCATTAATTTGTTCCGCAATTTGGTTTAGTTTTTCTTTAACCTTATACGCCCTCTTAATACGATACCAATCACCTAGCTTAACTAACAGCATTAGAACAAACTTCATACATCCCGGCACATATAGGCAACGTTTGAAAGTGCAGTAGACAATAGCTGGCATTATAATGGATTTCCTTTTAACTTCGTGGGTCTTCTAAGCTTCTTATTAGGTGCTATGAACACCTGTGTATTAATATCTATGTAGTACCTACTGAGTGAAGTATAGTATTGTTAAAATAATCGTGGGTAATTGTCTTCTTTTTGCATTTATGTTGGGGTCCATACCAGCAGAGAGACCGCCTAATTCCTCTAGCTACAAATCTAGCTATAGGATGTGAAATCTTAGCGATGTTACAGCGTCAAATCATTTCATTTCACTACTTTGACATGTACACTACTTTGACATGTACATTACTTTGACATGTACACAACTTTGTCATGTACACTACTTTAACAACGAAGACCGAACGATAAAGAACTGCGCTATCAAATTCATGTTCATTTTCGCTAAGATGTCGTACCCTAGAGCTAGAGTTAGACAGGTCGTACCCCAGAAATATTTCATATGTTCTTTAGGAGAAGAAAAATATATTTGCTTTATTATATCTATTACTGACCTATTGTGAGTCACCTAGAGTTCAAAGTTTACGTCTAAAACTTGTAAATAATGTCTCCTTATGTGATTAAATCGGATCCGATTACTAGATTGGTCTAGAGCTATGAAACCTATCCAGCAAAATCGTCTATAGTACAAGTTCAAGGTAAAATCTAAAAACCTATATTTGATTTGTTTGCGTTGAGCAGACTCCTAACGTACGGGACCGATTTTAATTGATTTTTATTTTTTCACTTGCTGCTACATCATAGCTACATCTAATGCGGGTGACACGTGCCGCGTATGAAAACAGCTAGTATATAATAACATCTTAACATATTCCTTATCTTCGAACAAGAGAAATTATCGTAGGTCATGTTAAAATAACTAACACATAGATATTTAAGTGCGCGCAAAAAGTTAATAAGCATAAAAACTTAAAAAAAAAAAACAGAACAAACTTCAAACTTAAAAAAACTACTTCAATAGCATTAGAGATAAGTATTATTTTATTTCATGATTTTAGTGATATTTATATTTTTATATAATAGGTAATACTAAAAATATTAAATATTCTATATACTTAGATAAAAATTTTCAACATATTGAAAGTCTTAGAAAAGGAGATTTTGTTTATTTGCTCAACACAATCATCATCAGCACTTTTACGTCCCCACTGCAGGGGCTCAGGCCTTCCTTATGGATGGTTAAGGAGGATGGGCCATGACCCTCCACGCTGGCCCAATGCGGATTGGAGGGTATTAACGACTGCAAATGCAACCGGTACCAACGGCTTAACGTGCCTTCCAAAGCACGGAGTAGCTCGAGATAATAATTTTTTGGTCACCCATCCCGTGACCGACCCTTGCGAAAGTTGCTTAACGACAAATATCGCGGGCCGCGGCGCTTATCCGCTACGCCACTGAGCTACTCACAATATTTTCCAATAATTCTATATTCATATTATAAAGAAGAAAGATTTGATTGCGAGTTTCGGAGCCTATTTGCATTGGATAGGCTCCGAAGCTTTTAGACCAATTTAAAAGTCAAGTCAAGTAATAAGCGTTGGACATAGGCTATAATTCACGCAAGCAAAGTCGCGGGGAAACGGCCAGTTTGATAGAACTTGGTTTAAAACGCAAGAAGAAATCGATTTACATACCTACTTTTATAAATAATATTAATAAATTCAAAATATGTTTTTTTAGCTGAAATACGATACATATCATTTAAATATTAGGTGATATATGGTAAGAACGTATTTTTTTTGTTACCCAACTGCGCGACGCAAAGGAGAAATCGAACCATCGACGACAGAATTCGATGCACTTCGCGGACAGGGTATAATAGAGCGAAAAATGTTGCCATTGATATTGTGCTGGGGTGTAACTGTACACAAACTCCAAGGAACTACTTTGGACCGAGCTGTGGTTGACTTAAGTTCACGCATTTTTGCTAAAGATCAAACATATGTAGCTTTGAGCCGAGTTAGGTCTCTAGAGGGACTAATCATCAGTAGTTTAGACCACCGCAAGTTACTTAATAATCCCCACGATATTAACGTCGTCATTAAAAAGTAAAAAATAAAAATAAATAATTTAAAGAAAAAAAAAACACGACCGCGTAAAAGCGATGTTTAAAAAATACATGAAAAAAAGAAAGAAACAAACCCAGTAGTTTAGAATTCTGTTAAGTTTAACTAAATAACTACACAATTGAACTAGTTTTATAATCGATACACACAAAACAAATCATAAATTCTAATGCAGAACGGAACGACTCACAGTCGGGGCCCATTAAAATTTTACTAATCAAGGAGCCCCGACTATAAGCTAATCATAGTCCAGCATACGTCATGGTTTATTAGGGTGTCTCATACCAAGGGGTTACAAAACTCAATTTTTGCGAAAAGGTGTGAAAAATTCAGCCAAAGTGTATCAACATAGAAGCGGTAATTAAACCTCTCAACAACACCTTATTCATAAACGAAGTGTGGTCATTCCAACAGGATTCAGCCCCAGGTCATAAGGCGCGCTCTACCTAAATTTGGCTTGAGAAAAATTTTCCAGACTTTATAAAGATGATGATGATTGGCCTTCGGCTAGTCCGGACTTAAACTCTTTGGACTATTAACTGTAACTATAACTATAAATCTGTGCTAGAAGCCATGGCCTGCTCTACGCGTCACCCAAATATTGAGTCGCTCAAGAAATCTTTGGAGGCAGCAGTGACCAAGTTTCCAATGAAAGCCGTCTGTAAATCCATCGACGAATGGCTCGACCGTTTAAAAGCGTGCGTTAAAGCTAAGGGTGGACACTTTGAATAACTAGTTTAGTACCTACGTTAATATATCTTTTCTCAATCTACATATAAAACTTTAAAACAAAATATTTTTTTTAGAAATTATCGGATATTTTCTTTGTAACAGAAGTTATGGCTAGACTAGGTATAACCTCCTTTTGTAGATATATCTTCCTTTGAAGTCTGTTAAAAAGAGACTCGTTCATAGGTATGGCGGTGGCTTATTATGATTAAATGATTGTTTATATAAAATTATTCCTTAATTAAGGTATTTAAATCGTTTAACGGTTAATCCATGTAGAAAAAAGAGAATTGGTAATTCAAAATTATTCGATTGAATGAATGTATGTATCGTGTAATGGTCTCTTACGTGAAGTATTGCGGTGACGCAAAGTGCCATTAAAGTTAAGAAGAAGAAGATTTAAAGTCAATAATTATTTTAGTAATTATTAGAACATATGAGGAGCTCGATGGCGCAGTGGTTATGGTTGCGTTCAGTCTGCGATGCACAGGTTAAGCGAGTTTCGCAGGGTCCAATCATTATAGGATGGATGACCAACAATTTATTATCTCACACTCTTCCGCACTCCGGAAGGCACGTTAAGCCGTTGGTCCCGCGACTTTGACGTTAGAACGGCGGAATAAGGTGCAAAAGCAATTCGATGTCCTCTAGGGCAAGTAATCCATGTATGAAATATTTGTACCGCAAATGTACTTACTTCAATTCTAGACATACTACAAGTACGTAGCAATTTTAGAAGCATCACAGTGGCGGGACGAAGCTTCGAACACATAACTTTCATCTGCCACTTAAAATTGTATCTTGTTTTGTAGATTTTTAGTTCAGTTTGGTACATATTAGTTGTAGTACAAATATTTCATTTTATTTTTAACATAATATTTTAATGCACACAAGCAAAACTACTTTCATTGTTTGTATCTTTCAGGACACGAAACATTAATAATTTTTCAATGTATACGCGATAAAATAGTTTAAAAGTCGTTTATTTAATCTCTGCCATGAAATTATGGAGTTTAATATATTACTTTTTTATTGAATGTTTCATATCTTTCTTTTGAGGCTTACAGCTAAACTTTTCCTGCAGAGAATATTTTACAAATTCTTTTCTTTTCTAATGTATTCTCATTATCAATTCCGACAATAATTATTACCCTAACATTAGTAACCACGAAAATTTAAAACAATAAATCTAGGTAGGTATAATTAAGAACAGTTTATTTGGAATTTATTGTTTTGGTAATTTACTTGTGCAATTTTATGATACCTACCTACATATTGAGTTTAATAGGTCCATGATTTCAAGTAATTTAAATATATAACAGCACGTCAGACTATATATAACAGCACGTCAGACTATATACAACTGTCAAATTTCTTCACTTGAATTAAAACATTAATGCTATATAGATAGAGTTCAAAATCGATTGAGGGAATTTATCATATTGCGATCGACTAACGTGCAGCCATCTGTACTTATAAATAATTGTCTACAGCACAATCTCACATTTTAAAATAGTAATATCAGTCATCTGTGGCAAACATAGTAGTTAATTGCCTAGTTTGATAGTTTTGTGTGAAAGTCGAATTACAATCACTTAAGATGCTATTGTGTATTAGTAATGTATAGCCACTTAGTAAAAAGTGTATATCTGAGTATCTGCCATATTTTTCACAACCTATTAAATATCTATTAAACTAAACCTCATGGAAATTCGGCCATAAACTTTTGATAATAATGTTTTATTATCTACTTCTTACAAACTTCTTTTAGAATGTATGAAAATTGGCAAGCAAAAGTGTTAAATGGATGGCAGTTTGGATATTATTTTTGTATTCATTGAAAGTATTTTAAGCGATATTATAAAAAATATTATACCATTATTATGACAAGTTTAGAAGTAGTATCAGAACTCACCGATGCAATTAAATCTCTCTATTGCCAATAAGTTTCAAAATCTAAAAACCTGCACATTTTAAAATCACAGACTGTAATTTATTAGGAAATAATGATAGTGTATAAACATTTTAAGTATTTGATATGAAATATGTTCAACATAGGAAAAGATGAAACAAATATAATTGTTTGCATCAACACAACTGCCTAATACAAATAATGACTACTTTGTTTACTGATCTGACCGCAACTGAGCCAGGATACCTTATCAATCTACAACTGTTTATTTATTGGATAGTGAGAACACTAGCAGATATTTATGACCATACAATAATGTTATCTATAAATTGGTGATGCTTTTACATACCTACTTGCTAAACAAGTACAACACAAATATGATCACTCTACCTATTCATTTGTTAATAAATGACAGTTATGAATTCAATTACCATTAAATTAAGTAACAATAAAATCTTTATATTTTGAACTACCATCCATTAAAATAATCATTAGTTTAAAGCAATGTTTTACCACCTGTTATCTAATAAAATTAATAAATATAAAATCTATTTCATTCAAGGAGTAGTTTGATGTACACTACATTGAACACCACCACTAGTGTAAATCAAAAACATGTGATTATTCAAAATTAAACTAAATAGTGTAAAACAGTTCCCTGTCTATGCTAATTTATTAAAGCTAAAGAGTTTATTGGTTTAAATACAGTAATATTCAGAAATACCAGTTGACATGGCAAAGTATTTTATCATCTTATAAAAGTGAAGAAAGATTAACAAGCATAGACTAGTGAAATTAGGGCCCCAACTAATAAGAAATAAAATTTTAGTAAAAATAAGTACTTATAAACTTTGTTGTCAATAAGTACTTATTATTATAGAGGTGATATATTTACATAATGTATGATGGCAGAAAATTTCTTTAAGCTGGCTTAATATCTGCAATAATTTATGCATTTTTTTAACTGACAAATGAAGCTTCTGACAAAACTGATACAATATTTAAACAGTATTGAAATTAATAACTGAATTAATAAGTTATGAAAAACAATTATTCCTAATTTTTATTATTGTCAATACAATTTGATAACATATATTGTCCTATTGGTAATGTAGAATCAGAAAAATCAAGATTTTGCAACTTGATAATTGATAGTGATAAAGTAAAGACAAAGTAAAAAGAAACATGTTGCATTATTATGGAGATTAATAATCTGGTTAGGTTAGTCTAAACTTTCTTCCATTAATATTAATATATTTATTGTTAATTCAAACACTTACATACTTTTTTGACTTTGTCAAACTCTTTGGTTAAATAATACTGTTACATATGAGTTAAAACAAAGGAAACGAAAATTACACTTTAGATGAGGTAGTTAGAATAAGTTTAAAACACAACAGGATTATTAAAGCTGTAAGGTTTCCAAGTTTATTATCTATAACTTACCGTGTTCCGTTTATAATATAGATCTGATAGAAAAAATATATTACTTGAATTCACGACTTCAGTTAATTTTAAGGGTAAATGTAGGTATCTTATAATAATAATTCAAATAAAATGTTGATGTGAATCCAAAACCAACCAATTCCATTAAAACTTTTTGACATTGACATGTCAATAACATCTTCAAATTCAATTGCTTGTTGTTAAAAAATAAGGCGAAGAGATGTAGACAGCACAACCCAGCCTTTGATTATACATTTTTTGTTTTCTTCATGCAAGTAAGTGATCTAAAAATACATAGATGTAAAAGATATAGTCCCTTTGCTTTTATTTCTTTAAAAAAAGTGTCAGTGTCAAAATACTGATCAAATCATTTTAGCGGTGGGTATACAAACATGTCGATAATATTTCTTTCGATAGATAGATAGTTATAGGATAAATTATTATCAGTGAATAAATGAGGATTGTTGCCTTAAATTAAATCTAAATTTATCGGTATATGTTTAAGTTTAACTAATTTTCATAATTTTATTTTGCATAGTAAGTAATAGTTAATAGTAATCGTATTCGGTAACTCAACTGACAAACTAAAGTAGTAATCACCGAAAAAAGTAAGCAATGCCATGTTGTCAAAATCGCTAATTCATATTTTCTATTAATGGCTTGCAATTTTGGAATGTCAATATCACTGATTTCCACTGAACTCTATTTTGATACTTGATTTTGTATATATAAATTAATAAAGTGGGCAAACAAGCGGTCATATCATAGATAATACATAATGCTGGGGTTTAAGTGATTTAGACACATTAGAACAGCCATACTCAACCTTTTTTTTAATGGGGCCACAAAAACGTTTCGATCTTGAATCGCGGGCCGCAAAAATATGTAGGTGTTAAAAAAGCATAATTCCAAATTGGCGATGTGTTTATTGAAAAAAACATAATTTTGTAACCTTTATAATATTAGGTTATGATGAAGCCTCATGCAATGTAGACCAAATTTTGAAAGAGCAAACTTTCAACAGTTTTTCTGATGGGCGCAACATTTAAAAACTTAGTCAAAGTTTTAAAATTCCAAGTGGGCCAATCACTTAGGCCCGGCGGGCCGTATTGAGTATGGCTGCATTAGAACATCATTAGAATTGTTCCCTTTTTACGGTGATTATATCTAAGCTATCACTTGAGTTAGCAAAGAGGCGTACAGAAAATGCTAAATTAACAGATTATGGGGGCTGATGATTTGAAATGAGTAAATAATATTAAAGTAAATGAGTATACATATACAACGTGTCCCAAAATTCAACGATAAGCGGGCGCCAAGAGGTAGACCTGCTCATGTATACTTATGGAAAAATAAGAAAAAAATTATATCTTATTAATCTTTTTTATTATAAAATTAAATTCGAAAATCTTCGGAAATTTACACCTTTTATGATATTTTCAACTACCACGACCACAACTTCTCAATTATGTTCAATCTTTTTTTGGTATCGGATACCAAAGTAGCACTACTATTCGCTACAACTCTTAAAAACACCAAAATGCCCGCAGTTTTTACACAAAAAACAATGAAAATGTAATTTTTCCTTAAATTTTCACAGATTTTTACGTTCCGTAATCTTTGACTTACGGTCTTGTAAAAAAAAAGTATGGACACCACTGTGGCAAGTTGTTTTTAAAATTGACTGAACTCATCAAGATTCCAAAATGGTATAATAATCTAAGATAACTAGTCACAGTAAAAAAATATGCACATCATTTGTAAACCAAGAGTATTCCGGGCGTTGGATTGGGCGACTTGGTCCTATCTTATGGCCACCCCGATCACCCGACCTAAACCCCCTGGACTTTTTCTATTGGGGTTGTCTCAAAGACAAAATCTATGAAAAACCCATTACGACATTGGACGAGCTTCGGCAAAAAATTAGTCAGGCTGCGTCACATATCAATGCTAAAAGGTATGCACGAAAAATAAAACGCTCTTTTTTAAGGCGATGTCGTGCATGTATTAATGCCGGTGGAAAACAATTTGAACATTTACTGTAATGTTAATTATTAATAAATGAATGAGACTAAAACTCACTATTGTTTTATTTCAATATTTTTTTTAAATATTAAAACATTTCGGAACAGTACAATTTATTACTCACAACTTTGGTTCTTGATTCTAAATGGTATGATTTTTAGTTTGTTGCTAGTTATCATGAAGTATTATACCATTATGGAATCTTCATGAGCTGCGTCAATTTTAAAAACAACTTGCCGCAGTAGTGTCCATACTTTTTTTCTACATGACTGTGAGTCAAAGATTACGGAACGTAAAAATCTGTGAAAATTTAAGGAAAAAAATACATTTTGATTGTTTTTTGTGTGAATACTGTGGGCATTTTGGTGTTTTTAACAATTGTAGCGAATATTAGTACTACTTAGTTATCCGATACCAAAAAAAGATTGAACATAATTGAGAAGTTGTGGTTGTTGTAGTTGAAAATATCATAAAAGGTGTAAATTTTCGAAAATTTTCGAATTTTTTTTTATAATAAAAAAGAATAATAAGATATAATTTTTTCTTATTTTTCCATAAGTACACATGAGCAGGTCTACCTCTTGGCGCCCGCTTATTGTTGAATTTTGGGACACGTTGTATGTCGAAATAAATTTAATCACATATCGATAATAACACGCGTCCCTAGATATACTTATCTGTCTGATTGAAGGGAGATGTATGTTGAAAGAATTTGAGTTATACATACGTTGTGTGAGGAATATTAAAACTTATCACTTCTGTGTCCTCGCTAAACACATTTAATAAGAGAGGTGGTGATAGTTAATTTCGTAATAATGTGGGATAACGTTATCGAGTATTTAAAGGATCCTCTTCTTGTCGTGAAAGTGCAAAATTTTTTCGGAGTAATTTATAAAAATAGTATTAATCGTCAGAGCGATGAATCAACCGAGGTGATACACTCTGATAGGTTAGAACAAGTGAATGAAGAGTACGACTTAAAACAACATAAGAGAATACCAAGTAATATATCGAGCAGTTCACAATCCTCAAACGACACCGATAGTTCATGGGAAAGCAATGGTAAAGATGAAATCGTGTGTACCGTGAATAATAGATTCTGGTACTACTTATTCGTGCTGGGTACTGCACTCGGCGATGAGATATTTTATGCCACTTTCATCCCATTTTGGTTTTGGAACATTGATGGAGCAGTCGGCAGGAGAGTTGTTCTAGTTTGGACTATTGTCATGTATATAGGTAATATAAGAGTTGTTCTGGTTTTTGTTAATACTTGTGAGTTCATGTTAAAATAAATTTACAGTGAGATTTTTAAATTGTGAAATGAATTCTTAATGAAATGTGCTTAAAAAATTCACTTTGTCCCTGGCACTCTGAGATGGGACACAAACCCATGACCATTCATATTTTTTTATGAAAATACGCTCTGTAGTAGTGAAAAAGAAACAAGTGGTTGATAAATTCATAAGCCCTGTTAGGTTGTGGGTAGCTCAGTGATTAGAGCATCCTAGAGTGCCAGAGACAAGTGAATTTTTTAAGCATTTTTATTATAGTATTCTGAATGTAATATTGATCAAATACATTGTTAAAGAGACCATTTTTATCCAATGGATTTTTCTGATCATCCCTTTTTAACATTTTGTAGAGACATTTCTTCAATTTAATTACAGTTAAATTAAATTTCTAGGTCAAGGCATCAAAGACATAGTTAGATGGCCCAGGCCAGGCTACCCAGTTAAGAAGTTACAAGAGAAATGGGCTATAGAGTATGGTATGCCATCTACACATGCCATGGTTGGAGTGTCCATACCATTTTCAGTTCTATTGTACACTATAAATAGATATCAATATCCTGAACTATGGGGTGTTGTTATTGCTGTCACATGGTGTACACTTATTTGTGTCAGCCGAGTCTATCTTGGAATGCACAGCATACTGGTAATTATCCTGCAATATACATATTACTTAAAGCCTGCACCAGACACAGATGCACATACTCAACACTTCTTTATATACATATATGTATATAATAAAATAGACAAAGCATTAAATATCTATGCGTCACAGAGTGAACAGATAAGTCATTAAGTAAATGCATAAGCATTTGGTTCTGGTGAATGACAAATATGTTACAGTTTAGAAATCAGTAGACATCTCCTGACATATTTCAAACTTTTGTGTGAATAAGTCAAGCAGTTAATAAAGTCTTGTATTCATAGGTGTTGACCATGAAAACTGATTTACTTTCATGGTCAAATTTTTATAGACAATTTTATTTTATTGCTCTTGCTACTTTTAGATTAGATAAAGTTATATAATGTGGTAAGTTTTCATGGTAATTTACATTAGAATGATAATTTCTTGCGGGATTGCTACCTTGTTATTGTTGAGTTTATAGTAGTTATTATTGTTTGTGAATACAAGTTTTATTCACCCATTATATTTATTGTGTTATGAATAATGCGCAAATTACCATCCTGAGATGGGCCAGGCACAGACTTTTGACTTTATGTATATATAAAAGATACAAGTGGTACCAGAGACAAGTGGATATATATATGTATGCAAAACCAAAAAAAAAAAAAATTTAAGTTTTTCTGAAAAACTTTAATTTTTTTTCAACAAATAATTCCTATAAACGTCCATGGTAACAAATAAGGTGTTCCTTAGTCCATTTATAAGGAAATTAGGTCTTAGGTCTAAATATCCATTTTTGGTAGCAGGTTACTATGTGTTTGCTTTCCAGCATCGATATGTAACATTACAATAAAATATAATAAATGTTGAAATTATGTACAATACATTTGTCATATTATTGTTTTCAGGATATAGCAGCAGGACTAGTGTTGTCGTCATCATTGCTCATAGTGCTGATCCCTCTAGTGGACCATCTGGACGGGATCCTGTTGACGAATAATTTCGCTCCTCTTGCTATTATTACTATTTCTATATTGGCCATCGTGTTCTATCCAAATGCCGACAAATGGACTCCTACCAGGTAATTTCCATTGGTCATTTTACTTTATTTACATTCATACGTCAGGTGTGTACAGTCCGAAAATACAAGCGAATTGAAGTTATTTGAAAACATTTTTTTTTTCTAAAGCATAATACAAATGTAGAATAGAAACTACACTAATCTCAATGAGCAGGGCACACTTGCCGCTGTTAGTCAGATAGTCTCATAATAACTGCCTGAGCCAAGTGTATATATACATTTATTTATGTAAATATCATTATTTATGATAAAGAGCTGGTAAGTTTCTTCCGCTCGCTCTTCTTGTCAGCTAAAAGTGGTCCTGAACAAGTGGTAAGGGAAATCTTTTTTATGGACGATTCAAAAGTGCTCGAAACAAGCTCACTCGAATAAAGATAGTTTCATTTCATATGGGTCGTGTGCACTCCGAACAGAGGCGACACGACGATGATAGTGAGCGTGTGCGCGGGCATCCTGGGCGGGTCGTGGTGCAACTACCGCGCGGGCAACATGGCGGCGAGCGCGCTGGCGCCGCCCTACGCGGTGATCTGGCCCTCGGTGGAGATGGCGGGCTGCGCCCTCCTGCGCACCGTGCTCGGCTTCTGCGGCGTGCTGGCCACGCGGGCCGCGGGCAAGTCCGTGTCGTACGCGACCGTGTGCGCCCTCCTCGGCAAGGACAAGAACGAGCTGCGCGACTCCGAGAACAGCCTCGACAACAAGAACAAGATCCTAGTGGAACTCTGCTACAAGTACTTCACGTACGGTATGATAGGGTTCAACACTACGTACGTGTTCCCGAACGTGTTCGAGTTGCTGCAGATCAATAGGCCCACCTATTACACGGAGATTTAAATCTAGTCACGTGACATTATTCTTCATTACCGGTAGTTTTTTATCGTTATTCCGTTACGAATATTTCCTTCCTTGTTATTGAATTATTATGATAGCGTTTGTAATCTCAGCAGGTGTTTTGATAAAAATAAATCTACGAATGATGTGATCGCTCTGTCTAGTGAGCACTTTAAGGTTGTGTGCACACATATAAAAATGATAAAAAATATATTCATATATGTCATTTTCAGGGCTCGATGAGAGTTTCCTAATACGATCATTAGTCACGATTACATTTTGCCTATCTGGCCGAGAATATGCAGTGAATGGTAACAATGTATACCCACCTCAAATCGAGACAAACCAAACAAACATGCATAACGAACCGTTGATGTAATGTCTGTACACGACTTTATACACTAATGAAATGAATCAGGCTACTGTTGTATCTGATATTTAGATTTGTTTAATAAACCAAACAGTTCTTTAGTATTGTATTTGCTTAAATCACTCAATAATTGCCAAAATGAAAGCGCGTGCGAGTTTACACCGGACCACCCCGTCCATAGGGAGCACCCCGTTCTCTTTTGCATGTTTCTTGTATGTTTTTTGTACTTCAAGTTTTCGTCAGTACTTTAGCCACTAAACTAAAGTAGTTACTACAGTTTAGTGGCACGGTAAAAAGTGCAGTACAATACAGTGTGAACGGGGTCTTATTATCAACTCGTTCTGAAGTGCAATCATAATATGATTAAAGATGCATCCACAATTAAAATAAATGAAACTGTAACATTTTCACATTAAGACACTGTGGGCATTCATTAATATTTATAATTATCCACCGACTAATGACAAGAGGAAGTAATTTTATAGTAAAATAAAAAATAAAAAAAAAATATCTTTGAATGAATGCATGAATGAATGAATTATTTGTTATATTTACACTTTTAAAATACATAACATCACTTTATATCTATGAAACTACTCATTATGATATTTAAGAAAGAAAGGCTATTAACATACCAGACATAAATGTAATGTACTTATACAGAGCTATATAAAGAAGTCTTTCGTTATTAGCATTTTTTTATAATTGACCTATTTATAGTTATGTTAATGTCGAATGAAACTTGTATAACTTTTTTAATATTTATCACTATTATAAATGGAACACCGCGCCTCGCGTCGCTGGAAGCTGAATAATTATTTTTACCAAAACGATATACGAGTGTCGTATTGTTACGAATCACGCCCTTTAACTTGTAAATTTAATTAATTTAATTAATAGATAATAATATAGATGTGCCTTTTAGTGAGGGTGCTTGCTCGTTACGAGTTAGTGATTGATGTGATTGTGCAGTTTATATATTAGGCTTAGCGTGGTGTAGATGGCAGCACTAGCGCGCACAGTAAACAAATTGTCAACGAAAAGTAAGATTACTCTTATGTATAAAAAATTGGTTGTTTAAAAAAGCTATTTACTCTGTGCTAGTGCTCCGTACTGGCGGTAGAAAATAATACGTCCTATTGATACTTTCTAATATTAACTACTACATTCCATTTTAAATGTATTGCTCGGTTGTTCACCACATATCATTGCTAACTAGCAGTAGATATTAGTTATTACGCGTATGATGTGAGCGTCTCACCTTGACTTCAAGTTCGTAAAAACGTACAGTAAGATTCAAATAATATGGCGCACAGTGAATCTTCATTTGCGCCGAGCAGATCTATCAGTACCGATAATGACTGAACGTACAATAAAATTTATATTGAGTCATATTTTAATAAACATAAGGTTTACAACACGACGCATAATACTCGGCCGGGGTATTGGCGATGGTGGATGGCGTGATACTTGTATAATTCTGAATGGTTGACGACATTTGCCGCTTTTCGAAATTTAGCCATTGCGCAGGTACATCGGTGTGCGACATTAGTTGTATCTTACTGTGCGAGTGTTAGAAGTAAATTAAATGTGAGTCTTCCATAAAAGTTTTAAATGTTTCACTACATGTCATCATTTGAAATTCAATGTCTTTCTTAAAGTGTCTAATTCAGTGATCCCCGACCATAATTACAATAAGTTTGTATTGGAAAATTTTAGTAGCTTTACGAAATCAGCCAATTTAAATTTAATGTAGTTTAAAGATACTGGCACTTTTGCATAGATCTATTTTTTTAGTCTTAAAGTGATAGTTGTTAAAACGACTTAATGTTTTTCATTAACATACACATACACAAAAAAAAAGTATAATACAATACACGTCACGGAATATTGCTGTTTATTGATTGTTATTTGTTTTTTATTGTTAATGTTTATACATGTATGCATGACGTCAGGTGTTATATATTATATATTTATATGAATAGATTATTAATTGAAACTTTTAAATAAAATCTACCTAAAGTTTTTGACGAGATATTTTGCTACCTATTTTCAATATGTAACAGATTGCTTATTTATTTATTGTACGTTCAATGAATTTGTAGAATACTTACCAGCTGTTGGAAAATACAAAAACTAGAAAGAATAGACAAAGCAGTATTTTGTAATTGACACATCAAAGTTCTCGAGAAATGACGGTATTTAAGTCTCTATGATGTCTATCTGTTGTCAATATTACAAGTGGTCTTTAAAAACTTTAGGTAAATTAGTGTATTCTCACATTGGTTATTGAATTAGCCCAATAATTATTTTTAACTTTTAATCCGAAACAATTTGATTATTTATTTATGCGTAATGTAACAGAAAGTACTTTAAGAATACCTATTAGATGCGATCCGCCTTGTTTTTATTTAATGATATTCAATTTAAAGTTCGATGTTCCTTGTCCTCATATTTCAAATGACTATTCAATTTCCCAGTGACTTGTCGGCGATTTCCTGCACAATAATTTTACTCAAAAGTAATTGTAACGCTAACACGATTGAAAATAACCACTAAAAATGTTTGTAATTTAGAATTGCGCTTAAAGTTTGTCCGTTCATCATATTCATTCGTGAGCATCGTGTAACGTTATTGTTTAAGTTTATAAATTTATTCTAAGTGTTATTTAATTATTTAATGTTGTATTGAAATTTCATAAAAAAGGTCTTTAGATAGCTTCAAATGCTTTTTTTCGTTAGTCGGTTAAAACAAGAGTTTAATTTTGTAGCCTTTGTAAAGGTCAAACATCTGAATCATTTATAATTGTCACCTAAAATGCATTTGAATTAATAATTTCTATATAATAATGTAGGAAATTCATTTCAATTATGTTTTATTATTAGTAATCGGAATTCACTTCGTTTACGGAAAATGTACACAACAAATGTTACTTTGATGTAAACTGTACTTTCCCTCATCCAGCGTTATATATTAGTCATTGTACCTGTGTCGGTCCCGAATTCTGACATCGAGTTTTTTATAACGAGGCGATTCATTTATTTTATATGTCATATAAAACCTTAGCTAATGGCGGCATAAACATTTATACTGGCATTAGCTTAAGCTTTAAACATATAGGATGGTATCACGAGCCGCCGATTGTACCACCCTTTTATTTAATTATGGTGTACAATATTAATTCTTAATTCTACGATCGGGCGATTTTCCGTATTCGCAGCGTGCTCAAGGGGCGGGGCGGTTATTCTACGATCAGGATTAAAGCTCGGACTGTGCCGCAATCAAACGCGTGCATCCCAAGGCTGAGAACGAAAAACCATATTTGCGGCTCATGTCTCCAATCAGTTAACACAAGGTTACGCGTTAACGGTTCGAGACATGCGACTTGCGTTTCAAAATGAATCTCCTCTAGGCTCATGTGAAATTGGTATTGTAATTTTATAACGTGACCTCATAGTCAAGATACAATTCAGTCATACATTTCCTAATCGATGCTCGAGTCAATAATTTCAGTGCCTAAATAACAAATTCGTTTAGTGGCTGTTATGTAAATAAAATTTGTGATAGTTATATACTGCCATATAATAAAGTTATTTGCACAATTTTCAGTTTTTTTAATTAACACGTTAACACCATGGTATTTCCGAGTGGTCGATTTAAAAAAAAGTCATTTTAAAATATAAATGTATTTATTTGTCTAACAATTATACATACAATACATAACCACTAATCCAGAACATTTGTTTATTATGCGAGCCAGATGTAGCACGATTTCAAATTTCCAAGTTGTAAATGTCTTACATTTTAATACACATTTCTTACAGACAAGTCTGTCTGTGTTGTCTTTTGACAGACAACTCTACTACTTCTGGGAAAGTGTCTTATTTATACCATTATTATAATTATATGAATAATTTACACATTATATTAAGTTTAGTATGAAGATGACAACTTTTTAAATCGGTTTTGAACTTTATTGTCAATGAATTAAGGTTTAAATGGATTGGAAAAAATAATCCGTTTAAATAACCCGATGTGCTCTTACCAGTTTCCCTTTAGGACATATAAATAATATGGTATTGAAATGAAATAAAAAAAAGGATAATTTACCACATCAATAGTTTGAAACTAGCGAAGATGTCATGTTCTAACAAATGTCGACAGAGTGTAGTCCCATTGTTTATTCATAATTGTAACTGTGATGATATATATTTCATAAAGTAATATGTATCATTAACTTTTATCTGTTGCATCAAAATGCATATTACCGTGTATCATCAAAATTTTATAATTAAAATGAACAATATGTTTGTACAAATATACACGTTTCTAACAAATAACCAAATAATGATTAGACATAATCAAAACAATATACACATTTATATAACCTTGAAATGAAATGAGTCCTTTTGGCACTATATTTATATTATATTGCATCTGTTTCGCATTTACAATGCTATATTAATTTTTTCTTTTTAAAAATTGGATATCCGAATTATCATAACGCCATCTTAATATTTATAATATAAAAATATTTGAAAAAAGAACATGCATTTGTTGTTTTTTTTTTTCAAGTATTTTCCTCGTTAATTAACAGTATCCCGACGAAACACAAATAACAAGTCAACAAGGCTGACATTGCATCGATTAAACGAAGCAGACTTCTCTAATACTTTCATTGGAAAGTGTCAGGAAGAACGCAGCTCCAAGCGAGGACGCAAGGGTTCCGAGGCCTTTTGTCATAATGGCACAAATTGAACCCTATCTCTTTGTAATAAGACAGACAATATGAAAGCTGTTCAAGTTACAAAACAGCTTGTACTTCCGTAATACAGTGTGTTTGTTTTTAGAAATAAAAGACAGAAATAGAATATTAAAGTTGGAAACAATAATTTATTAACGTTTAATCCTAATATTGGCGCTTGCCCCCGGTGAGGTAGATAGAACGCGCTACCATATACAAATTCAAATAATTTATCATCGCTCCCTATCCCTTAAGGATCCGGGTCTTCGATATCTATTTACATAACTGTTTATAAACGATTTAAACTCTCCGTAATGAAATTACATTCAGACAACAAAAATGACTAAATTTCAATGTTCAGATCCATTTAAATCGAAATTGAATTATTATTAAAGAGTACAAATTTGTAATTTTATTTATGTTTATTTGATAATTCTCTAAATTTTCCGTTTATATCTTGCACATTTCTGATTTAAATTGCTATAAGAATGAACATAGAGGAAGACAAGTAAAAGTAAGTACAGACTATTTCACTAATATGTATACATGTACACATGTCACATTAAACATATTATAACTAGTATACACTTTACTCGCACCGAACTCATTATACCATTTTACTCAACTCAAAACAAATTCTCCATATTTACATCATACAATTTTCCTATTTTTTGTCTATAAATGTTATAATAAAGAGTTAACTATGATGACAAAGTGTCTTCGGATTAGAGATGGAAGGTGTGAGAAGTGGAACTTCTTTTTTTTAATTACATAGTATTTCCCTCCATCGTTATGCAAAACTTGAGTGTAATGTTATAGAACACAAGTTTTTTCGTAGATGTTAAGGTGGGTATTTAATTTAATATATTCACCCTAAAACTATGGTGTTAAAAACTAATATGTTATAGTTGGAAGATGTCACGATTATACGTTGAAGCAGACTCGTCTGTTTCGTCCGGAGCACCCCGGGCTCGGCTCTCATGCAACATTGATCGGGTTGGGTTTCGATAGAAGCTTCTCGAATAATGTTTCACCCTCGCTGTCATACTGCAACAAATGAGAACATATGTTATTTGTATTGTGTCTATGTAATATAGTAATAAACTAGTTGTCTTGAGATATGACAAAGTTCAAATCAATACAAAGAGCATTTCCAGAAATACTAATTTTTTTTTTTCGACAACCGATCTGTTTTTTAATTTCCATAAAAATCTGTTTAAATTATTTATTAGTTACTATGCGCTTATTATTAGATTTCCTCCTGTTGAGGGCTAGGTTATGTAGTGGACACGGGTCATAACTCACCGCGGCTTGCCCACTATCGAATGATGGGCTTGGATGCAGACAGAATAAAATATCAAATCGATATGTTATAACCAGAGGTCGGAATTAGGTAGAGTTATTTATGTATGTACTTGCATCGAAATGTTGATATTAATGTGGACCTTCCCGGGATTTCTTTATTTCTTCTTTCTTTATTTCTTTCTTTCATTTATGTAAGTTTGGCAACGTCGTGCGTGCAGTAGTTTAAAAATAAATAACTTTTTATTTAAGAAATCACGGAATTTTTTCTGCTCTTTAAAATTAATCTCGGGATTTGAGGCATATCCACTTTATTCTTTCGCTGTATGAAATCAGTGTAAGTACATGAATAACTCTACCTAATTCCGACCACTGGTTATAACCTCAATATTTGATGTATAATTAACATTAAGAGATATGTATTAATGTACAGTGCTTATATAATAGAGCTATTGATAATATTTTATTTATAACGAGAGCAATAAGGACCTATCTAGTGGTGTACACAATTAAAGTATTTACATAACATTGAACGATAATAAACGAGTACTTATCTAGTAGGTTATTATTTGTAACGTGATGCTGATGTTGATACATGACGTGTGACATTGTGGTAAGTTATTGTTATGTTTAGAATATACTTACTGAATACTGTCATTTTATCTTGTAAAAATGAATATCAACCTTATTAATATTTAAAGGTTTTACGTCTTATAATTTATAAATTCTACGAATGTGTGTGTGGTGTATTACAATTACTAGTTGACAGGAAAATTATTTGGTGACAAATGACAAATGAAACTTTCCTGTAATTAACATTAGCTAAATCATTATGTATAAATAGTTTTTGTGTCTTTATGGGGATGGATGACCACACACCAGAATTATATTGAGTAATAAACTTTATAATGTAAAAATAACCTTTATTGCGTAATTAATTGTAATTTAAATATTATTCGATGAGTCGCGAGACTAACTTGAATAAAATAAAAATGACGACTTTATACAAATAAAACGTAGGTTGATAGACCGCACACTGTGGTTTTTATGACAGCAATATTACAATAAAGTAAGTTCAGATATGATATATTTAATCCGCAACAAGTCGACGTAAGTCGCATATATCTTGTGTTTAAGTTTGAACTCACATAACCTTATCAGTAACATAAAAGTACTGATAAGGTTATGTGAGTAGTTAAATAAACAAGACTGTTGTAATATTAATGTTTTTATAATAATAAAATAAAAACCTTCCATTATATCTATCCTATTTATCTGACATTGGGCGCTATCTACACGAGCGTGGGAATCGCGGCGATTCGTTCGACAATGAGGAATATCGTCGTGCTATATACTCTTTATGAACGCGTCTCCTCACGGCACACGTTACGTCGTCGTATCGGTTCTTTTTATTAAATAACATGCATAATAAATAATTATTGCAGTGTCTGAGATATTACTCTTTTTGCCTTCGTCTGGCATCCAACTAAACTCTTTCAACAAACAAAAGAACGACGCGGAAATGCGGCGGTTCCGTCACAAGTAGTGACGGACGACACGTTTGCGGAACAATTGCTCGCTGGTGGAGATGACCCGCCGAGAGATGTGCGAACTCGTCGAGATTCTCTCTCTCGCTCGTTAGTGAATTTTCTACATCTACACCATGAAGGTTGTCAAATCACAGAAACCACGCTAATTAATGTAAATCTGATGTGATGTCGAGTGGAAACGTATCGGAAATCCTATTAATATTATAAACGTGAAAGCTTCTTTGTTTGGATGTTTGTCCGTCAATCACGCCGAAACTACTGAACGGATTTTAATGAAATTTGGTATACTGATAGGGTATTAGCTGACTTAGATAATAGGATACTTTTTTCCCACTAAACATTTCCCTAGGGTCCACGCAAGCGAAGCCGCTAGCGAAAGCAAGTATAATATAATAAGACGTCTTGAACAAGCTGTACCTACGGGATAAAATTTTTTTGGACGATTCAAAAGTGCTTGTAATAGCCTACTCGAATAAAGATATTATCATCGAACACTCACGTCGTCGTCCGTGTCCGAGTCCGAGTCGCTGTCGTGGCGGCGCTCGGCGAAGAGCCGCTCGGCGGGCGTGCGCGCGGCCAGCCGGCGCGCCGAGCGGCCGCCGCAGTCGCGCGCGCGCCGCGCCACGCCCGGGCACTGCTCCAGCAGGTACTGCGCCGTGCGCGCGTCGCCGCGCCGCGCCGCTATGTGCAGCGCCGTCCAGCCGGCCAGGCCCTCCTGTGTTCATTATATATTCATTCAATCGATACACTCTACAAAGAGGGTTATTTACATTTTTCTAATTCTTTAACCTGCGGGAAGCTCTATCGTATAAATTATTACCATAGCAACAATTATTCACTACTAGCTTTCGCCAGCGGTTTCGCCCGCGTGGACCCTAGGCAAATGTTTAGTGGGATAATCTATATACCACATTTCATCAAAATCCGTACAGTAGTTTCGGCGTGATTGACGCACAAACATCCAAACAAAGAAACTTTCACATTTATAATATTAATAGGATTCCGCCGCTGTGCGAAAAGCTAGTATTATTATAAAAAGGAAAGATGTGATCGTTTCATCGAATAACCTCCGAAATAGGTACTGACCCGATTTAAAAATTATATCACTATTAGAATACCACATTGTCCATACCATATTACATTATCTCTAGTGAACACGGCCGATTGAATATTTTTTGAAACGTTAGGGATCCGCATGGAAATTTCGATACGCATGCGGAAAAAGGGCAGTCTGCGAGTCTTTCATAGAGTCGCAGTTTTTTTGTTTATCGACTTAATAGTTCGCCAGTGAAAGCGTAGCAGACAAACTGTTACTTTCCCATTATAACATCAGTGTGAAGTATGATTGCAGGAACCATACTACATCGATACAGTTGATCGAGCGCCGCGGCGTCAGCCTATAATGCGATAATCTAATGAACGGCTATTCATGTAGTTTTAACAAACACATAAAATAATTAATTAGGAGTATTGTTCAGATGCAGATTTAGCGAGCGAGATATGTTTTTGAAAAAAACATCGGTTTATCAATAATGAATAAAGTTGAACAGAATATCATATACTTCATGTACTGCACATAAAGATTAATGTATTTTAAGTTTCTCACGTTACAACAGAACAACTCGACGGGGTACTTTGTTTATTTGATAATAGCCCAGATAATTGACAACAATTTACGAGTAAGGAAGGAAGTAGAACAGCGATTTTTGCATCACCGACGGCTCAAAATGGTGTCAACTAATCGACCAAGGTTCAATATAATACTATTGTATCCGTCGACTTTTACGACTTGTGGAATTAAAACCTTCATAATTGTGACAATGTGTTGTTACGTCAATGTAATCCGAAGTTAAGCCTCTCGTGATATCACGGTACACCTGACAATATAAAAAAAAAAGATAATTAACTTTTCCATACGCCTCGTGTCTGGGGTGGGCGAGACACTCCAGTTGTTTCAGATATCCATAAATGCATGGACTTTGAAATCAAACGGAAAGCCACACATAAACAATATTGTTTTATCAGCGGATCGGTACAAATGTGGATTTTCCATTGCGCATGTAAAAATAAATTACGATCTTCGACAGATTAGACGTAAGATTCCGTATATAACGAAACAGTGGCTTTAACTGCGTTTAAAATGTAAACACCTAGTGTAAATTGCGAACGTTACCAGAAATATATTGTTATATCAATGGACAAAGTATTCAGATTTGTGAGTCACGTTTCCTGGTGCTAGTCCCATTAAAAACTTTATTTAATATGAAGCCGCAAACTCATCGGATTTACAGAAGAATACAATTGATTTTCCCAATTTTGTTGTTATGACGTCATCCATAAAACAAGATACGAGAGAAATCAACTGAAGTTAATTTGACACCAAAACATAATACTTAATATAGGTGTTAATCCTATTAATATTATAAATGTGAAAGTTTCTTTGTTTGGATGTTTGTCGGTCAATCACGCCGAAACTACTGAATGGATTTTGATGATATTTGGTATACAAATAGGGTATTAGCTAACTTAGATAATAGGATACTTTTTATCCCACTAAACATTTTCCTAGAGTCTACGCGGGCAAAGCCGCTGGCGAAAGCTAGTGATAAATAAACACGATGACGACATGTCCAGGGAAACATAAATACTATGTATACGATACTCATTTCAGTTTATTTCTAAAAATAATTGTAATCATAATAATTTCAAATCAAAATTTTCTGAATAGAAGTTTGGATAAAGGCATAAGTCATATGGAATTTCCCCAAGTACAATTTTTTGAACTTTGGTTGAATCAATTTAGTTTTAATCATTTCGTAGGTATAAAAGATACTCACTCTGGCGTTGATGTCAGCTCCATAGTAAACCAACGTCTGCAATGTCTTGATGTGACCCGCGGTCGCGGCCAAATGTACGCACGTCTGACCTGCAACAAGCATCCCACATCCATTAGCATTTTCTAGACTCACTTAATCGTAATTTATATTAGTGTTAGACAAGGGATTTTCCGTCCCCAACGAGCGTTGGAACATCGCCGTATATTAGGTACTTGACGTAAATAAATGGATTTTACGTCTTAAAGCGCGTCAGTTAATAACCGTAGAGAACTAACCGGTCGAAATCCAAGGTTGTAATTTTTAAATAAGTAAATATTTTCTATATAATGTGTAATAAATAACCAACCATTCGCATGTTATCAACAACTGAGCTCATAAACATTATGTATTTTAGATGAACGTAAACGTAGATTATTTGTTCGTTGAAAACAACATGGCAGCCGTAATATTCCATTTAATGGCCTCTCAAATTCTTTATATAAAAATATCAAACTAGGATAACGTACGTAGTTATCTATCATAATGGGCGAGATGGTGATATCATGTGTCGAGTGAGTATACCTATGGCGGATGTTACGATCCTGTTTGATAGATCATTTAATATTATAAATTATAGTCATTCATTATCAAAGTTCACACTCGGATGACTCCTCTCTGTCAGTCATCGTGTGATGCCGCTCTGTTGACGTCACATTAGTATTGGATTCGTTGACAACTTTAATAACTTCGCATTTCACAAAATGCAACTTATTAAAATAAAATAATTTTAGGATTGCTATGAAACACTATTACATAAATAAAATATACAAATAATGCTACTACTAATACCTATTTGATTCTTGCATAAATATGAAAGATATTTATCTTAATTGACAATTTTACAACATTCGTGCAGCTGCGTGTTGGAGTGAATCCAAGTTTATTTCCATCTATTCAGAAATAGGACGCTGTACGAAAACAACAATGTGTTATAATGAATGTATTTAGGTTACACTTTTAAACAGACAATTTCCGAGGAACCGTGAGTGTAGGGTACACCTCGGGCAGAGCCTGTTGAATCATTTCCAAATTTACACTGTTTTTATTACAGGTTGGAATTGAAAAAAATTACTCTTTATTTCTTTGTTTCAATAGAACATCGTGAAATCCATATTCAAACTACCTATTTATAAAATCGGGTCCTTTCTATTAAAGAAGGACGTCATCGTTATTGATTAGCTCGACTGATCAATGGTGTATTTTATCAATTATCTTTACCTAAACGGTGAAATAATAACATCAATGCGAACGACAGCAGCAGTTATTAGGAACCAGTTTTGCGTCTAATCACGTGCCACGCATATCCTAGTGCTGCAATTACAAACGTAATTTCAATAGCAGATCCTCTTCAATGGGAATGTTTTATCAATGCTATAATTATGATCAAGCCCGACGTTGACGTTACAAAACGGAATCACCGTTAAACCAGTTATCGTTTGAAAGATCATTCTAGAGATTTAGTTTAACGTATCGATGGATTTGGTTAAACATATCAATGTTAATGTAGGTATACGTGTCGTCAGAGACGGGTCGAGGAACGCGGCAGGGCAGGGCGGGGCGGGGCGGGGCGGTGGGGAGCGCACATGGGGTTTTCCCAATAATGCGGAGTGGCGAGCGGCTGCGCGTGCGACCGCTGGCCTCGCCGAATATAGATGTGCTGGGAGCCGACATTTCACTATGCCAATAACTAAATGTTGTTAAAATAAAGAATGATGTGAACAAAAACCGTAATGACAGAGGAATTTACGATGTCTTACAATGTGGTGATTTAAATAAATGCGTAATTATTAAGGGAAAAACACGCGTAGTTATGGTAATGGAAATAAACTGTGACGTCATCGCCATATGTAAATATTACATGTATATTATTATTACTATGTCCATGCACGTGTAAAGCTATAGTAAATATATAGATATAATAAAAAATAGAATGACCAATCCGACTGTCAGTAAATATCTTGACCATTATACGTATGCTATTCAAAATCATACGATGTGTCGTAAAGATTATATGAGGGTTTTGTTTTTGTAAATACCACACGATTCCGAGTTAACGATGTATTATATTTTCATGTAAACAAACGCGTAACGTGTGGGACATTGTCAAACGAGGCCAGGCTATGGAAAACCCCGCGCTCTACAAACCATTAATGCTGCGCGACGGCGACGCTCTTATATCCGATGAAGTTGCGATAATTTCCACAAAAGGTGTACGGATAAGAAAAAAATACACGATGTCCTCGATAAAAGTATTCAGACTAGCTAAACAGTTCGTCCGGAAACCAAAACTTGAAAATGGAAATACCAAACTACTTATGCTTTGAAATGAAAAAAAAATTTTGGGTGGAGACTGTGTTAAACTGTATTGTTTTGTAGCTTTATTTTGTAGTAGCAGAATATTTTAACGCACGAAAGAAATAGTAGACTCGTTTCCATATTACCAGAAATACCTATTGATTTACAAAACTATTACTTGGATTAGTTATTAGTAAAAAGGGTTGTGCAAGTCACGAATGAAAATTATGTCAAGAATCCTACCTATATCATTATAATAATAATGAAAACGAAACATCATTCGCTAATAAATATAGATAATCTAAAGATAACTTATCGGCGGTCATGCTGCACTCACGAGAATGGTGTGGGTTGATATTAGAAATGCGCATCTGATTTAGTGGCGCATCAGACTTAGGAAATACCGTGCGCGTATCAACTGCTTTCACGTGGGTATAACCCGGTCCATCACTACGATTGCCGCTGTCATGGACAATACATTCAACCTTCACTCATTACTGTGGGGTTTTCTCCGTGTTATTTCCAAATTTACAGCTATAAAAAATCCTAATTTTAGTTATTGTTTCACTTTGGTTTTTTGGAACAATGGCGTTGAATAAAAAATGATTTCCTAATAACCTTGATGATTTGATTCACATGATAATTGTCGACGAAATTTATTACAATCGATATCCGCATCCGTGAATTACAATGTGATTTTTTTAACAGCTTATAATGGTTTTCCAATTAACTAATGAGCACTGCAGTGACGTGATGAAATGTTATTATTTTAGCTGTAAGCGGAGGGAGATCGTTTGTGCGGTGTGCGGTGTGCGGCGCACGTAACAGTGTTACAAGAGTCGGGGTTATCCCAGCCGGTAAGATGCCCAGCGGTGTCTCGCTTTCACCAGCGTTAATGATTATGTGAACGTACTCGATTGTATTTGGAAATACCCAAGACATATACCCGTGTTACGATACGAATATGTTAGATTTCTAATTAGTTAACAGACAATAACTTCATGAGATAACAGAATTTTACCAAAATTTTTCGAAAACAAGTTTTTATAGTAAAGAGAAGAGATCGCATAAATCCATTATGTAAATCTATGGCACTCGCAGTTCGTATTTAAATCTCTCGAGGCAGCACTAAAGTCGCGGATGGATCGGAAAACCCCAAAGATAATACGACGCCGCATATTTCTACCTGCCAGGTGATAACTAAAAGGTGATTGGAATTTCCAATGTGTGGCGTTCGGTAGTCGACATCTTTCTAATGTACTCTTTTGTGACATTGAACGAGGAGTCCTTGACGGCGCTCACCGCTAGTCGAGCGTGAGCACGTAAACAACTAAGTGACGCTGCAATGCTACTTTATACAACAATTGTCTTTAGAGGCGTCTCTTAGAGAGTGCAAGCGTGTGACGTAAGCATAAAAGAGTACCGCCAATCAACTCTCTCATTACATTAGCAATGCTAAAGCTGTATAACTAGACGTGTTGATATTTTACGACACCTCTCAATTTAAATGTGCGATTTTTAGTATATACATATAGAATTTCTCGAGGTACTTTTCAATATTAATTGAATGTTAAACATTGTAAGTTCGCTAAGGGAACGGCCGCAGCTCGATGACCAGGCTCTTGCTTGGCGGATAATGCCATGCTTCTACAGGAAAACCACAAACACCTTTCAAATGCTCAGCAATTAGCAATAGGAATTACCAGCGGCTTGTATGCCTTCGAAGAAGTATTTATCATGTTCTTTACCTTTGTCCATTATTTGTAACGCTAATAAGGTAAAGGAAACAGGTAATTTTGGCTGTGCATAAATAGGGAGAGAGGATGGCGTATATAATTAGGTACCCAATTCCTACTCTGCTCTGCTACAAAGTGGTTTTTAAGTTTCTATCAAAAGAACATCATTACGAGAAATAATTGACTAGGCAAATGGTGAAGTATGCAGGTAAATTTGCATTTTTATTAATTTTGACCAAAATGATTGCAAATTTTAGATGGTCTTTTATTTTGGTTACGCAGCGACCTGCATTTAGACCACGTAGGCGTCACAATAACGAGGGTAAATACTGAAATATATCATAATCTAAACATTCCGCATTTCTTTATCATAATCTCTTAAAAGATATGGACTTGATGTCGTTGAAATATTAAAACAGTATTTTTGTGCAGGACAATTGGAAAAACCATTTGATGGGTTTTTACGATATGATTCAGTAAGGACAACGGCGCGGCGTTCTAACACATCTCGATAACGTTGTTGTAAGTTGATAGCTAACTAAAATTAATGCATCAGTTAATGACGAAAATGTCTTTTATTACTTTCATTATTACTCATATTAGGTCCTTACATATGAAATGGGCGTTTTGTCGTACTGGTCACTTTAATCACAAATTTCTCCTCCTTGGTTGGGAATTCCAAATTCAAAATGATACAGCCATTTACACAAGTATTTGTGTTTCGTTAGGCGGTATTCATTTGTTTTTTTTCTTCTGTTTGTCCTATTTACGTCACCCAGTATAAAAAATGGAAAACTTAAAATATCGTGTTATTTACGAGTACGAGTTCCTCCGTGGTACAAGTGCTGCGGTAACTGCTCGAAGGGTTAATGATGTGTATGGCAGTTGTGTCGCAAAAGAAAACACAGTGCGTTTTTGGTTCTAACGTTTTCGTTCTGGAAATTTCGACCTGCAGAACAAATCCCGTGGACGGCCAGAAACCCTAGTTAATAATGAAGAATTGAAGGCTATTGGGGAGGTGGATCCATCGCAAACCACATCTGAGTGATAAAACTGTTTTAATCCACTTGAAGCAAATTGGAAAAAAATTGAGTGAAGCATACCGGCAAACGCGCTTCGACTGATTCTCTACGATAATCGGAAGCACTCATCGCAATGGTTGGACCCTGGCATGCCAGGCAAATCTTGTCACAAGCGAAAATTGAACAGCAAAAAAGTAACTTGTAAGCGTATGGTGGAAAAGTGCCCGTGTAAGTGGAACAATGAACTACCTATGAGATGGCAAAAATGCATAGATAACAATGGTTTATACTTTGATTAAATAAATATATTATATTAAAAAATATTCGATTTTTTTGTTCCTCCCATACCAAACACTAATTTCATATGTAAGGACCTAATATTACAAATGCAAACTGTATATATGTTACGCTTCTACATTTAAATAACAAAACCAATTTTGATGAAATTTCATATGGATATAGTACAAGGCCTCGTGAAGGACCCAGAATAGTTTTTTTTCTGATGTCACCCCCAAATAAGTGAAATAAAGTGTAGAAATTAGTATGGAGAATTAACAATTTCACAAATTAAGAGACACCTAAATCAAAAGTCACTGATGTTCAATTGGTTTTCCACAAATAAAATATTTAAGTGTTATTTGCTGTAATTAAAATTAAGAAAGTTACATCAAAGACCAAAATGCGAATTTATGAAAAAGAAAATAATTCAAGTTACCTCCAAGCTTTTTTCTTATAATTAGAAATCCTATAGTTAGTTCAATGAGTCACTTTGTAGTCCTATTATAAATATATTGTTTACCAAACATATAGAAAATGTAGTGTTTCCTATAAGGTTTGTGGTCAATAGGTAGTTAGTTAATTCTAATAGTACAGTTAAAGATGTAAAGTAACTTTGAAACATACCATTAAAGTCTTTCTGGTTGAGGACAGATGATAATTTTCTGTGAGGTTGTTCTTCTATTGGTGCTAGCATCGCTTTAAGGCATTCCACATCACAAGTTTCAGCTGCTATGTGGACCGGGGTCCTCCCACAAATGTCTCTAGCATTCAAAGAAGCTCCTGCTATAACTAACATTTTTGCTACTACTGCATAACCACCCATTACAGCTAGATGCAGGGGTGTGTGTCTGTAGTCATTTTGTATATTTAGTAATGACTTGTCTGGACATAAGTGGATGAGGATGCCCACAAACTTCTCTGAACCGTGGACAGCTGCGATGTGTAATTGCCTGTAAAATACAGTAATGGTGAAACAGCAATGTAATTAAAATATCAAATGGGAATTTATTAATATTTTATGTTTAGATAATTATCTACAACATATGGGCATATTACATTTTATTTTTCCACCACCTTGTCTTTATATGTTGAAGACTTAGGTTATTATAGATGAAAGATTTACTTTTATTTTACTTTATTTACTTAATTCTTCTAATTTATAAATAAAAAAAAGTACAATTCTATAAAAGATATAGATTGTTTTAAATTTGATTACTAATTTGTTTGAATAACAAAATATTGTTGATCAGTACTGTAGATATAGTGATATCTGAAAATAAACTATAGTCAACTTCATCACATATGATGTAATCATCCTGTTGTCTCTCTACCTTCCTAAATATTTCATATTTATTGTATATGTATGTATACATGACTGCATGTCAGATTACCACAATATGTCAAATTTCTTCAGTTAATTATAAACTCTACCCTCAAAACATTAAGGTTTAAATCAGGTGGAGAAATTTGACATTTAAGTATTTGTATAATCTGATGTGCTGGTTATTGTACAATAAAGGTCTATTTCCTAGTAGTAGAGTATTTTCTTCAATAAATATTAATGAAACATTTACTCTTTGCTGTATATACACAATTGTCACTAGCATATTAGATCACGTTGAATTTTAAATGTAACAAATCAGTTTTTGTGAAATACTCAAGCAAATGTGAACCATTGTAGTGATCTGACATGCTTTGGCCACTTCTTTAAAATAAATTGGTGATTCTGATAACATTAATTAACCCCACATAAGCAAAAACTTATAATGATTCATAATTATGAATAATGGATTTCAAAATAAATATTAATCAAATCAATCAGAAATAGACTCAAGGGTTTCAACTACTCAAGTATCTTAACCATTGGAAACTTTAGAGTCAGCATACTATTAAATGCTGTCAGTGCTTTCACAACATGCAAGAACCTAATAAAAGTAAGAAGAATTACTTACGTGTCTCCATCCACATCTTGTGTGAAAAGTAAATGTGTTTGAGGTAGGTTTTGCACTTTTACCCTATCACTCACATTCGTAGTGTGTGTTGGAAGAGGTGTATTCAAGTCCAAATTTGAAAAACTTGTACATAAATCTAAACCACTGTCTGGTGTTTCATCTTCTACTATAATATCACATTTCACTGTTTCACTGATCCTATCTGAGGGCACACCTAGGTCACCAGAGTCTAGAGGGTCAATAGGTCCAGAAAGAAAACCAGAATCTGTATTTCCGTCATCTGGAACTTTGGTATCGATATTCTTTTGCGCACTCATTTTGCTAAATATCACTGCACTGTCAGAACATATGATTTGATTACACTGTAGTCTTTGATCTAAGAATATTCAACGAAGTTTGAACACTGCGATCATTTCGCCCACCGACCACTAGCCAGCATCAGTCTCGAACATGCAATGATAATATTAGGAAGATGTCTGACAATAAATGAGCGATCTGTCGATGGTCGAGTCGGGCGCCATCAGTCACAGACCAACAATATGGAGGTAGCACAGACCAAGGAGAAGGTAATAGTGGGTAGCTATGTAGTCTTTGGTAGCTAGCTAAAAAAAAGTGCGCCCCACTTTTAGTGTTGCCAGTTAACTATAATCAAAAGTTTCGTATTTTTATTCAAAGTATATTTTTCCATTATTGCGATTTCTCATATAACAACGCCGTTTGGGAGTCTCTCTAACATAAAAGTATTTGTGAATTTTACAGGAAAGATCCAAAGACTAAGGGATATTACTAGATTATGAAAGAGCGCGTGTTGGCGCGTTGCTGTGGCTGCGTTGCTTACTAGCAAGAAGAAAGCGAAACGGCAGTAATAACAATATTTTCTGGTAGTAATAGGTTTTGTCCGCAAACACAATTTTTGTCAAGGCAAAGAAAACACATAGACTTATACTTGAACTACATTAAGTTATGAAAACAATATACAAGGATCGGAACTAGTGGGCCCGCAAATTGCACACATAAGTATTGAAAACATGATCAATTATATCATTGTAGCAATGAAGAAGTATTTAAAAAAAACGGAAGCACTAAAAAAGCACCTCTACTAGATGGCGACTCTAGCAAAAGTTGATTTTTGCAGGAAACGAATGGACCAAAGACATACATTTCCGTTCCTTTTAACTAACATATAAAAAAACTGAAATTTGAAAAGTGTGAAACTTAGATATTAATACAAATACGAAAAAGTACAAATAGAATATGAGTTATTTATTGAGTTTTGAAAACTAATTTACTTTTAAACATGAAAGAAAACCGGAAAGGTTGTTATGGAGAAATCAAGGACGTACCGGGGCAACATCTAGTTAGATTTCTTGAACCAATGTTTTTTTAAATACTTTCTCACAATTTCATCACTCTTACAATTTCCATTTATTTAGTTGCAATACGTATTATTTTGGTAAACCAAAACGGTATGTGGATAAAAAGTAACGTAAAAAAATACAAAAGTCGTTTCTGGCAATGCTGCACTTCTCTATAGATTATGGTTTATTCGTATTCCACCATGCACAAGGAATTTCCATTCGGATACTTTGTAGGTACTATAAAGCGGCTCCACATGATTGACAAATAGACGGGTATCAACATAAATAAGATGTTTGGATTTGTGGTCGCTGTTTGTCGCTTATGTTTGCCATTGCCAATGACCGGTGTTGATGTCAGTTTTTAACCTGAATCAAAGATTGCCCGAAACACCTACACTAGCAAGTTTGTTAAGTTTTGTTTTGTTTGTTTTGCTGTTTGAAACAAACATCCAGTATACTGACCGACTCTAGCACGGAAAGGCACATTCTAAACATTTTCTTGTAGTTTTCTGTGTATCTTTTTTAATATCAATCTAACTAAGTTAGACTCAATGTCGTTCTTCGTTAATAACTGGATCCAAAATGCCGTGTAAAGATTTTTTCAAATGATGAATCCGAAATCAAAAAGTAAATGACTTATTTATGTCAATGTCATATAAATGTCAATGTCACTGTTACGTTTGTTTTGAATGGTTTTGGTTTTAGGTTTTGGTAAATTAGAAATTAATTTATTCACTTGACATTATCAAAATTGTGCGAAAAGCGCAGATAAGCCATTAATAAAAGAAGAAGAAATAAAATGTCAAACATATAGCATTCTTTTTTATAATTATATTAGAATAAACTAAAGCATACTTTTAGAGATAAACAACATTTTGAATAATCAAATAAGATTTATTTAAGAAGTAACATCATGTTTGCTGAAAAAGTAATCGAATTACTAAAAGAATCTGAAAGGAATCCAGATACTATTGATCCTTTTAATGCAAGTATCAAAATTTTGATAACACTTACAGTTGCAATTAAAATAATTGTTACTTTCATGCGTACATATCTTTCTGAAATATTATCTTAAGGAGTTAAAATGCACACTATCCTATATAATTCTATGAGTACCTGAATTACCTTGAGTACCTCTCAAGGTAATTCAGGTACTCAACCTTGAATGGTTCTAAACGAATTTCAGTGGAGAATTCTCTTAATTACAGGATGAAAAAATAAGACAGATTTTAGAAGAAATGCAAACTCTATTTATTATGAATATGAATGATGCGTAAGTAATATTTATAGCACAATTTTTATATTGAGGGTCTAAATGCTATTCAGATAAAGCCACAGTTTTGGAATTGGTTTAAAATAAAAATAAATTTAAAATATAAATGTTTTATTAATTAGAAAGTTAGTTTCAAAACTAAAAACCAACCAATAAGAAATCATAAAATAAGAAAATAAATTTTAGGTAACTATCTAAGCTATAAAAATTAATTTGGTATGTAACATATATGTATCCCTTTGAGAATAGTTATGATGACTAAATTTTGTTTGTTTATGCGACAGAAAGGTTATTGAAGAATATTAAACATGTATTGTTTTATGTAATCAATAAATTATGGTGATATATTGAGTTGTGAGTAGCAAGCCCCCACTCCTCAACTTTAGTGCCTATTATCTAAACCAATTGTTGTTAAATTGAGGTAAAAAAACACATATCTAAAATTTGTCTATTACATATTTATCTGACTGACGGACTAAATAGAATTTGTTTTATTTACCCAGTCATTATCCCTATTGAGTTGATTTCTTGTAATGTGATCTATTATTTTATGAATATATATTTTTGATCCAACTTTAGAATGTAGTTAATATTAGGCCATACATATGAAATTGGTGTTTTGTCATACTGGCCACTTTAATCACAAATTGCACACTGCACAACAGATGGCTACCAAATTAGCTTGAATCAGAATGTCTTAGACATCCACCGAACCTTGCTCCAACAGATTATAATTTTTTTCGAAATTTGGATAACTTCTTGCAAGGGAAAAAATTCAACTCCGATGGGGCAGTGCAAATTGCCTTCAAAGATTTTATTGATTCCCATCCGAGATAGCAATATTGCTTAGATAACAATTGTTTATACTTTGATTAAATAAATATATTATATTAAAAAATATTCGACTTTTTGTTCCTCCCATACCAAACACCAATTTCATATGTAAGGACCTAATATTACATTTTATATTTGTTATCAATTGCTACAAATAAACTATAAACATATTTATTTCAAGAAAAAAAAAAGAATATGATTAATATTTTAGTTATTTGGATAATTTCTTCAGTGTTTGATACCAATTAAGATTATATTTACCTAATCAAGATTTTATTTTGTGTCTGCTATATATTAAATTCATTTATTTAATTAAGTTAATAAGTCTAGTATTTTGTTGTAGTAACGCCACTACAGAAAATAAATCACTATGGACTACAGTCCAAGTGCGTCATTCAGCTTTAGAACGCAATAAACGCTGTCTATTGGCATATTTGTATAGTCGGATGGAGAAGATCAAAACTCTACGATGGGAGTTTGGGTCAGTATTGCCACCTGATGTCAGGGAACTGCTCTCAGATGATGAATATGAGTGGTTCTCAAGGTATTCAACCAACTTGGCATCATATATGCGGTCATTGGGACAAGTAAGTTTTATTTTTAATTATCCATATTTGGTTAATATTTTTGGCAGAACCCCTAAAAAAGATATAAATATGTAAGTGAAAATATATTAGGTACTAGCAAAATCTTATACATTATCTTAAACCAATTTTGAAAAACTAAGATTTAAGGCAGGATAATTCAGTTTCAGAACAGGATGCATTAATACAATAACAACAACCTCATTGATATATTAAAGAAGGCTAAATTTCAAATCACAGAGAATATCCAAGATCATTCAAGATTTAAACTCCTGTGTTGTAATTTACTCCTCACGGTGAAAGACTCTTTGTAAATTTTAATCATATATTCATTCATAGTCAGAATTAATTGTACACCACTTTAAAACCTAGGATGCTGCTAAAAATCTACGTCGGACATTCCAGGACATTTTTTTTAACTATGGAACAAACACTTTTTTTTCCAAGAATTCTTAATCCTAGTTCTACCTTCAGTAATTATCAATTTCTCTGTATTTACGCTTGCAACCCTTGTTACAACCTCTCAGAAAATGTTATATTAAATTATGATTCTATTTTGAAATACGATGAGTTCTCATCAATTAATTTTATTGTGTATTAATACATTATGCACTTTCCCTATTGCTCAATGCATGATAGGGGGCTGTGTGGAACTCTATATACGCATGGACCCCCTCAAAGTTAGTCAAAAAGTGGATGCCATACCCACTAAGAACATTGTCTAATTAATTGAATTTACAGTCTTATGGTACTTATCCTATGCTTATGGCCAGAAAAGATGATTACCGATGTCCATTAATCGGTCATAAAATGTTTATTTTTTGTTACTGAACTTCACATAAACATTATAACAAAAACAATTGAGCTGGGGGTTTGCTTGATTAAGGTAGCTTTTAAATTGCTCATACATATTTGTAAAACTAAGTTTCTTTTTGGTATTTATATGTGATTTTGCTGTGACTATGAATGACGAAAACTATAATTCTAACAAGCCAAAAACAGGCCTCCGTAGCGCCACATGCGCTATCAAAAGGTCTGACGATGTCCGTCCATTTGTGGACGCCCGACAACAACAGTGGGAGGCTATGATAAAATAACATTATTTCCGTTAAATTTTGCATGCAATGCATATTCCTGGTATGCCACTGGAAAAAAGAACGAATAATCCTACTTTATGCAATCGTGTAGACATTGATGAGTAAGAAGTGCACAGTCTCGACTGAACCGCCGCGCCGCCGCTGGTGTGTGGGTACCGAGCTCGTATTGGAGCTATATGCTAATGCTATTAACATATTATAATGACGAGTCTCGATACGTGCTCTTCTTCCAGCGTTCGCGGTTTTTATTTCCAGACGCAGGAATATATTTAGTTATTTATATTATAAAATGGAGGGGTCTCCTTGAGATGAGATGTCTAATATTAGTACTTGTAGGGTATTCAAAATATGTCTCAGTTTCCAGATTGAAAAGTGATATACCTAGTCAAAATTACATTAGATCTTTAAAATTTAACTTTGGTATCTATTTTTACAATTTTTTACTTATATCGAGTTTGTTATGATGTTAGCGTGTTACTGTTTTTTTTTAGAAAGTTTGTAAACCTTATTGCCATTTCTAACAGCATAAAGCTCTCTTTATGATGGAGGTGTATAAAAGTTCCAAACCTCGTTTCTGTAGTATAGTGGGTACCTTAATTATTAGTATAGTTGAAGGTATATCTAAGCTATATATATATCAGTGACGGCAGTTGAAATACAGACTTGAAACTAACAACTTGTTTATCATTTCTACTACGACAGCTCAGTTTCCATACCCTACATATATAAGAAATTTACGAGTTAAAATAATCATAACTAATGAGCCTTTTAGGTCAGTAGAAATTATCTAATTATTTGGTACTTACTTATAAACAAATACATTTATACTATCATTTGTTCTCTCTACACAAAATCATGAACGCGTACGTATGGTCAGGTATGACTGCCTGTGTTTGAGTTAAATGTGGAAGCAAATTTACTGAGTATTAACACTGTGGAAATTGATTTGTTATTTTAGTTGTGTATATAAAATTATTTAAATACGATTTGTATTTATTTACGATATTTTCACATACACTTAAAACCCATGCAAAAATACACGTAATGAAAAAAATGATGAAAGATGAGCTCGATGGCATACTCGGTGGTGGCGCGCTCGGGGTGTTAAGTTGAACGGGTGACCAAAAATATATAATCTCAAGCTCCTGCGTGCTTCGGAAAGCACGTTAAGCTGTCGGTCCCGATTGCATTTGGTAGTGGTTCATAATAAAATCGTTTTAAAGTAAATTTTATTAGACCATTTTTTTGTTTAAGGATATCGGATACAGCGGCATAGATCTTACGGAGAACCTGCGACCTCCTAAAGCACTTTACATGGAGGTGGTGTGTACGACTGACTACGGCAAGCTGGAGCTGTCTGACGGTGACGTGGTGATGCTGCGCCGCAACAGCCGGCACTTCCTGCCGGCCGCCGAGTGCCAGACTCTCGTCCGGCAAGGAGTGCTCAAACAAATTGTATGATACCGCAATAAATTAGGTCAATTGATACCCGTTCAACGTGTTTCATTTATTTAAATTACAATACATAAACAACACTAACATAATTGTAAAAAAATCAATCAATCAGCATTGTAAAAAAATGTTCTCGCAGTGTCATTTCCAGCTCCCTGTCGTGGTTTATCGATATTTAGTGTCAACTCTTCACGAAATTGCTCTTGTCTTCTTTTCTTTCCTAAACCTTTTTCTTCTTCACTTGTGGCAGACCATGCTTGGAAATATAGATTATACGATATATGCAATATCATTTCCATACAACGTTGTTATTTCTTATTCATAAGCGTTTTTATTTTCAGGCCTGGCTGTAGCTTTCGTTAAATCATTAATTTGTCTGGAACTGGAAGGCGTATCTGTTAACACTTGTGCCACTTGTGCTTATGCTTGACTTGAACACCCACACCTTTATTAATTGTTGACGGAAGCAACAATTAATAAAGGTGTTCAACAATTAAAAATGGTCCTTTCTGGTGTTTCTTTGCAAAATTCTATATATATGGGGCGATAAACACGTACAGACGACGACACTGGATTTTGCCAGATAATGGTAAAAAGTCGATAAAAACTCTTAACGCTTCTCGGTCTGTTAGTATTTTTAATTGCTTTGCATTTTCAAACTGATTCATGACTAAAACCTTCTTTTCAGCAACAGCCAACTTTAATTCTTCAACTAGTTTTGCTGCAGTATCTCTCCTATAGAACGAAATCCCTGAAGATAAGCGTTAAGAATGTGGCCCATACCATATTCATTAAGCAAATAGTGTTTTTTCTGTTTTTACTCGATTCTGAGAAGTCCCCATAGTACACACAGTTTTCCTCGTTTACCAGAAGAAGTAGATGATGTAGAGTCAGTTGACACGTTTTCTGATGCTGGTATAATCACGGAATATTCGGAACCCGACCAGTCGGTGTTCTTTCTTAAAAAATATTCCTTATTGCGATCTGCTTCTTTCCAGCGTTTATTGAACTAAGGGATGATATTTCTCTGAATATTACCAATCTTCTTCTTCTTAGTGGTTTCTTGGTGGTTACCCGGCGAGCCCAAGTGCTTTGCCCGGTAGTTAGCTACTCCGTTGCATTCCAGTAGGTCGTGAGCGGCTGTTTCTTCTGCCTTCATGCATCCTCTGCACAAGGGGCTGTCAGTGTGCCATGTTAAAGTTGCTATGACCAGTGATACCACCTGTTACCAGGCGCAATAATGGTCAATTTAGCTGTAGGAGGGAGAATATTACCAATAATAAAACATATGTTGTGTTCACAAACTTGTTTTTTTTCCAAATATCTTGCACCATCAAGATATTTGGAAAAAAAACAAGTTTGTCGATTTTCCGCCTTCTATATAAGAGACTAATAACCCACGTTCAGTACAATTATAAAAAGACAGTAAAAAGCTGTCTTATATGAAACTACCACTAAATTATTAATGGACAAATATTTTTTTACAGCCCTTTATATACTGTTACAGAGTATGTGTCGTGTGAATTATTTCAGATATCATTTTCTCCCGGAAAAGACAAAAATAAATTGATAAAGCAAACCACAATGATAGGAGATCTGCCTCCAAATAAGGACAATTTGGTAAAATAAACAAAAATATTCTCTCTATATTGTGCTGTTTATTCATTTTATATAATGTATGTGTACTGTTTGTTCATGCTCCGACATATGTTATCTGTGATAGTTACAATCAATATTTTTAAATATTTATTATTCTCACAAAATTGTGAGAATAAATTTTTTTTTAAATATATTTGCAATTTTTGATTAATTTAATGATTGATTAATTATTATATTCCATTATAATACTTGTGATTGAATGCAATTTTTAATCAGACTATCATATCAAAGTGAAGCTGTAGTTTGAGATCGTGCTAGCACTCTGGGTAAAGGCTGAAATCAGCGCTTTGCTCCTTGAGCAAAGGAATCGTTGAGCTTAAAACCCTTTTGCATTGTTGTGGCGCACACGTTAAAGCGGATTTTTATTGTATTTTTTTTTATTGTAATAGAATTTTATAATGCTTGAGTGCTATTTTAATAATGCAAATAAATGAATTATCTAACTATCTATCTAGGAGTCAACTATGAAGCCGCAATTATTGCCTTAGACTCGTGTTAGATTTTTTCACATGTTTTCTTAAAACGCTAAATACCGTAGCTATTTTGTATGATTTTAATGAATACTTAAACTATTCAATTACACCACATTCACAATTTCGGTATGTGTTGAAAGTTTCGACGAAGTTGGGCAATACTTTGTTTTATTCATTTGTTATTTAATTACATTTGAATTCAAAACAATTGTAAATATTTTCTTTACTTTATCACACAAGTTTAAATTGTAATGTTTGCCAACCTAACAATAGTTAAACTTTACTAAGTGAAAACAATTACTTATACTAAATACAAGACAAATTACGCTATACAATATTAAACTTCGACTTTCGAAATATAGAATAGCATTCATAAACTACCGTATTTTGGTGAGCGGTAAAAATCATTTTTAATATGCCTTCGTCCTACGATATTCCACAGTGGTGCTGGCCCATTGGCTGGCAGTGATGGAGAGCATTAACGACTGCAAATGCAGCTGGGACCAACGGCTTAACGTGCCTTCCGAAGGTAGTAATTTTTTGGTCACCCATCCCGTGACCGACCCTTGCGAAAGTTACTTAACAACGCGATTGCGAACCACGGCGTTAACCCGAGCTACTCAAACGGTACTCGTACTCCTAATTTATTTGTACTTACGCATAATGTATAAGATCGAGGCGAGTTCTTAAGTTTAATGATCCGCGCGCGCGCGAGGCAGCGGAGGCGGCGAGGGCGCGAAGAGTTGCCAGTCCAGGTCAGCGTTTACCTAATAAGATGTTGCAACTTTGTCCATAATTTAATTTTATGTGACATTAACGTGTTACCGTGATATATTGTCGGTTGCGAACACTGTGTAGGTGAACCTGAGTTTAGGGGGCGGTTTGACTTCAATTAATGCTGAATTTGTGTTTATTCGACACTAATTTTTCAGTGTTGCCAATTACAATAAAGGCAGAGTATGCGTAAAAAAATCCCTCAGGTATTTTTTTTTGAGTTTCGGTTTTTTCAGTAGACCTTTATCATAGCCGTGGGAATTTGTATTGGCCGATGGTGATGATAATTACGTAAGCGCGAGGGACTCTTTTGGACGGTAAACGTATATCCTATTTCAAAAGGTTAAAGGGATTTCCGCGTCTTGCAGTGCCCGCTACACTATGCGGAAGCCCCTGGATACGTGTAAACGTGAATATGTCAGTGACGTCATTAGACACCTGCGCAGTTTAAGATTAGGTTTGACATGTGGGATGTGTGTTGAGGATTTTGAAAAGTTTATTTTTGAATTTTCAAATATGTTTGCATTTCGAAGATACTTATGTAGTAGGTATTATACTTATATAAGTATTAAGTATGAGTAGTATGGTTAATTATTATTTGACCATCTTATAAACATACTTTGCGGTACACCTATTTTGAAAAAAACAAGGTCCTTCGGTTCGGACATGTGATAAGAACGCTGGAGGAAATAATGACAAAACTGATATAGGTACTTACAACGCAAAAGTGGAAGGATTCAGAAGTCGCGGAAGGCTACAACACACCTATTCACGATCAAATTAATCGTCTGCTATTAGAAGGTGATATCAAGAAAATTGTAATGAAAGTGGAGGACGCGAAAGAAGTTTGCATGTACCGTGTCTTGTGGCTCCCGCTCCTCTCTGCCTACCCCGCAGGGGATCCGAGGTGAAGACAACAGATGTGTATTTAAAAAAAAAATACGTACTCACTGCTAAGTTGCTATTTGATAGTTCAGTAAAAATGTAGGATACCTATTTTTCCGGTTCTTGTGTTTTTCCTTTTTTATTTGTTTTTACGTAGGTACCTAAAAATAATACATATAATTGTTACCTACGCGATGTTTAGTGGTGTTCCCATAAACTTGTTCTTTGCGTCACATTTTGAACTTTAGACTAGATAGATTACCAGACGAGATAGTACAGATTTCAATGGATTAGGTTATTACCCATAATAAGGATGTCGATATATTTTAACAACCTCATACATTTGGCTTTGGTAAAATGGATTTTGTGTGTTTTTTAATTATTTATTTAGAAATGACGAAAAAATTATCGTTTTTATCTTATTTTACTTAAATATTTATCAACAATATAATAATAGCACATCAGTTTATATAAACTGTTTTTCTCCACTGGATTGTAAACCTTGATGCTTTAATCGTTGAGAACAAAATTAACTGCAGGAATTTTACATATTGCACTTTTCCTGGTGCTAGTTGTTCAAATCATAATAAGTAGCTCAATACTCAATACTCAAATGTTTATTGCAAAACCATAGTGTTACATTGATGTTACATAAATAATATTAGTATCAAACTATGGACCCTGTCGGGCACAGCAACACTTTATAGAGAGGATACATATCAAAAATAAAATAAGTGGTCTGGCAATTTAATAATAATCATAAAGTTAATCAATTATCACTAACAGTCATTCAAATTCATCAACAATATAATATACATATAAATAAAATAAGACAAATTTATAAATTTGATATTATTCTGTAATATTATCACTTGTATGAAATTTATTTGTAAATAATTAATTTAATATTGTTGATAATTTAATATTGATGCTATATTTCAAATTTACATATAATATATTTTAAACCTTTCCGCCAGCGGCCTCGCTCACGTGGCCCTGTATTATACGTATGAACCTTCCTTTAAATCACTCTGTATACTAATAATTTCAATTTAGAAATAGCTCCACCGGGCGGACAGACAGCCGAGTGATTCTATAAGAGTCCCGTTTTTGTGTACACAGTCACATTATCATAAGTGTTCACGATTGATGAAAGTAGATTCAATTATAGTTGCGCTTCTATTTTGTTTAATGCGCACGACGTACGAGTAAAATTCAGTCGAGTCATCGTGCCTTTCTTATGATGAGTTTCAAACTGTT